GCCCTAAATCCATACTGATTATCATTCAGTATGTTCTGTTTTTGCAAAAAACTATCAAGTCTTATTGAAAACACCTTTTCCAATATTTTTGAAAACTGTGGAAGCAATGAAACTGGCCTATAGTATGTAATGCACTGCTAACAGGGCTAACCGGTATATTAAGCTTTTCCCAAATCCCGTAGGAAGAAGGGCAATAACGCTTTTCAGCCTTGATGAAATTCTCCAAACATTCTCTTTATTCCGGCTTTAAATCATTGATCTCGGGAATCGTTGCCAATACAGAATATATGGCTCTTCGCTGATTGGCTGGTGCCCGAACTCGCACTTCTTGGGTTTTTGCGAACTGTCTGTTGTATTCTGATTCCTGACCTAGTCGCTGGAGAGAAATGAAATTGAGCGGAGGCACTAGGTGGCACCAGCCTGGCTAATCTGCTTCAACTTTGACACGTGAATTGTCAAAACAAACTAAATCTGAATCTGCTCTCTCTCAGATCCTCTCTAGGGACACCAACGATACCTATTTTTATTTTTACCCACAAAAAATGTAGGCGGAATGTGAAATCTGACTTTTCTCTGTGTAGAGCTTGTTCTCCATTCAAATTACAGCAGTAGAGACTGAAACTACAAAGTCTCAGCTTCACAAAGAGTCCACTCATTTATCTGTGCTCTAGAGAGAAGCAATTGAGGGTTATCTTAGTCAGACTTTTTAGGAAAAATATGCTGAAACATGAATAGGTTAAACAAAGTAATAATTCACATAATAGACTGAAAGTAGGTGAAGCCCATCTACATAATGTACTTTGTTTAAATGTTAAATTATGTGGTGCTTATCAATTGTGGTATATACACTGCTAATTTATTATATTTTGTATAGTAAATATGATCAATAGTTGGGGGTCCAGCGTAAAAAGTAGGTCAGACACGCCTACCCATTGCTCTGAGTGTGTATTGTGTCTGTATTAAACTTCATGGCTAAATTAAATGTTACAAAACTGAACCCCTCGTGTGGATTATTTGGAAGTGCAACATCTGTCAGGAGTACAGAGGGTGAAAGTCGTCCGAACTAGCTTAGACAAAATGAAGAAAGCTAATAATTACCTTTTTGTGCCATTGCAAACCACATAAAACATTGAATCAAACTCCAAAGGCAGAGAGTGTTTTGATTGGCCGATGATAGAGCCAGTCACACATACGGATGCAGAAGAGTCACTTGCTTTGTCTTTTTTAGCCTTCCTTATTCTCTGCAGCATGTTGAATTACCTTGTGTATGATCGTGTTATACAAATAAACTTGCCTTACCTTGCCTTGCCAGAAGAATCTTGGAAACAGAAAGATTCAAATAACTCAAATGCTCAAAAATACCATGAGGCTGTCGAGAGGCTACAGTGACAGTGCATTTTCACAGACACACACACACGTAGAAGCACGGGGACTTCCACACCACCCCCACACACACACACACACACACACACAAAAAAAAAAAACATTCCCTAGACAGTTTACCTCACTTTTTGAAACGTAAACAATTCATTTTAACGTTGTTTCGTGTCACTGGTGAAGCACTTTTGCCAACTGTGGTCACAAAGTTTACTCCAAATTAAATCAATGGGGGTGCAAACTAACCATGTCCCTGAATCACATTTCACTTTTAAATATAATTCTGGGCAGAGAAACATTGTGAATTTTTTGATTATCACTTTGTATATACCAGTATAAAGTGATAAAAATTTGGTCATTAAAAAAAAAAAATCGAACATTTCAATCTTAAGTTTTATGTGTTTTTTTTTCTACACACGTTTAATAAAAAAAATAAATAAATCCACATTGAGATGTATGAATCAGGTGAGGTATAACTATAATATTTGTTTGTAAAGCATCTTTGAGTGTCCAAAAAAAGCGCTACAAGTCAAAACCAGTCATGCAGTGCGGTGAAAGTCATAATGCACGACTTCTCTTAAATTTGCACTGGCTCCCTACTCCACCTCCACCTTTGTTTACTAACTCGGATAAAACAAAGATAAAAGCTATTATTTCACTATTTCACAAACTTTTCACGCAGAAAGAGTTTTTTTTAGCTGTAAAAATCTTTGTGATTGGTAGATGATGGAGCCAGTGATGCTTACAGATGCAGCAGAGTCTGGAGAATGGTGGAAGAAATAATCTATTTTGTTATTTAAGTAAATGTACAGATACTGGAGCAAAATAAATACTCAAGTAAAAGTAAAATTATCACATGAAAAAAACTACTTATGTAAAAATATAGTACAGTATAGTAGTATGAATACCCCTTTAAAAATTTATTTAAAGAGTGAAAAGTAAAAATATTTTGCACAGATTTTGAGGCTTCAAATGTGGTGATTTTGAGACATTAGTGCTCAATTTTGTTCAACAGAAAAAAACTTTACTTATATGTTTGTATTTCTATATTTTTGCAGGCTCAAATTCTGAACATGTTAAAAATAATCCCTCAGGGGAAGTAGAAAGTACAGATATCTGATCTCAAATGTGGTGAAGTAAAAAGAATCCTACTCCCAAAAGAGTGGTGCTCATATGTGGTTCGAGACCGTGGCAAGACGTTAGATGGATTTTATTTTTTTATTTTTTTTTTATTATTTATGTATTTATTTTGGGCAAGTAAGATTTACATTCTTATACCATGGAACATATAACATAAGTGAAATCATAATAGAAATGAAAATAACCACAACAAATAAATAAATAATAATAAAAATAAATATAAAAAATAATATTATTATTATAATTATTATTATTATTAAATTATTATATATTTAATAATAATTAATAATAATAATAATAATAATAATAATAATAATAATAATAATAATATTATTATTATTATTATTATTATTATTATTATTATTCAATCTTTATTAAGAACACATGATATCTGGTTCATAGTATAAAAAAAAAAAAAAAAAAAAAACAATAGTAAGAATAAAAAGTTAAATACAGTGCATGTTATAACGTATACAGACAAGAGCGCCAGTGTCTCCACAGCTTAGAGGTGAATCTGACAGAGCTCCTCACAGGACACACTAGAGCTTCAATGATTTGATTACTCAGATTCACAGCTCTACACATAAATGAATAAATACAACACCTGATTATGACAGCACAGGGTCTCACATCACAATTTACAAACAATTCACTGGCGCTACAGAACCTCGGCACTTTCAGTAATATTCTCAAAGAGTCGTTATACGCCACTGTCAAACTCTGCAAACTCTTTTTCTTATAGTTACGCCAAAGATGCGCAGTATACAAAGGTGAGCAAAAACATTTAAAAAGTGCAATTTTGACATCACTGGAGCACATAGAGAACTTACGGACAAGCATATTGGCCTGGCCATAAAGCTATAGTATTATTATTATTATTATTATTATTATTATTATTATTATTATTTGCCCAAAAAGGACTGGGAAGAAGAAAACTTATTTAATCCCAATGCTATATTTTGCATTTTTCAAACACTTTGAATTAAACTATATAAATTATTTACAAGTGCAGACAAAGAGTCACTGATATAGCTTGGCAATATAACATAAGCATACCAACAATGGTAAGGTTAAAGGTACAGGCAATGGTAAGAAACAACAGATACAAGTAATGTAATGGTCGGCACATACCAGCAATGGTAAAAAAACCAAAAAAAAAAAAAACCAAACATAAACCAGTGCTACAGAAGGAAGTATTGCTCTAATATTAAGACCCACTCTCTATATACTGTGACCAGACCATATGTTTATATAACAACTTGAATTTATGGGTAGTTTGGCATTGCTTGAGATGTGTATTCAAGGTTAATTATGATGAGTCAGTCTATACCTGTTTAGAGATAATCTTTAGTCGATACCACGTGCATGTACACACACGCACACACACACATACACACACACACCTACACACAAACACACACACAGGTTGGAGCACAGGGGACTTCCAGACCTGTACACCTCCTCCACCCACGTAGGACAATCACATTCCAGTAATGTCTGTCTGTCTCATTAACAAATGTAAATGAAAGAAAAAATAAAAGCATAATAGGAAATGCAAAACACATGCAGCTAAAAAAGGCACTACATATACTATAGCAAGTTGTGCCAGTATACAAAAGGATTGTTTATTAGGATTATTTATTCATTTATTATATTAGTCTGTAATGCAGTTTAAGACTACACTGAAAACTCTTCTCCCTGGCATTTAGTATGAGCTAGTCAGGTTATCTTGGTGTTTTTTATTGTAGTTTTCACATGTTATTTGTATATATACATTTGTAACTGCTTCTTCTATTTTGTTGACTTGTATGTGAAGCACTTTGGTCAGCTGAAGTTGTTTTAATGTGCTATATTGAATTGAATTGAATTATTTGAAATAGTTTGGAGCATTTGTCCTTGAATAAATTGAATAATGCCTTAAACCTGAGCTGTGCATGTGTATGTGGCACCAATTTACATAACTGAAATGCTGCTGCTAGTGCCGTTGGAGTTATACAGAGGCCATTGTTTACACAGCCTCTCCACACGCACTGTCAGAAACACACTGCATGCTCAGCAGAAACAGCAACAGGCTACACCAGCTTCAGGTCATCACCGAATACTTTAGATAATACTTTCAGTTTATTACACATTTCTAACCCTACTCACTGGTGCTCTCATCTACTTCTACAAAAGTTGCTAAGAGTGACTAAGCAAGATTGGCCTGGCATCAGTTTCTCATCCACTGGCTCCAAAGTGACCATTTAGGAATTTGCCTCTGCCTCTCAGTGCCTATAATAAAGCACAGGCTCACAGTCCGTTAGAAGGAGGAATCTGAATGAATCGCTCTGCTCCACCACCTTCTCGCACTGGGTTATTGCCAGAACGGTTTGTGAGGGAAATATCAGAGTTATCTTGCGCTGTTGCGGCGGCCAACCACGCTGTGTACTGTCAACAGGGGCCGGCCGGAGCAGGGCATGCGCATTACGTAACTCTGACGTCGCCCATTCAAAAGAGACAAGCCTAGACATACTCCACGCTCCTCAGCTCGACGGATCCTCAGCTCTGTCAGCTCTGTCAGCTGGACAACAGGCGATGCTCCGGCGGTGCGCGCAGGACGCATGACCGGACACGAGGACCGAGCAGCGCTTTAGAATAACGCGAACACGAAGCGCTCAATGTCATTTTCTGAACTCCTGACACCAAAGGGACAGTTTAATTTGGGTTTTGTCGCCGCTGCCTGTTCTTGAAGATCGCTGGGACGTTATTTACATCTCGCCTAATTATGAATCTCGAGGATGATTTAACGACAGCAGCGGCCACAGGGAACACGGCGGCAGTGCAGTATCTTCTGGAGAACACCGAGGTAAAGGTGAACGGGGAGAACCGCTTCGGAAGAACCGCGCTACAGGTCAGTGCGCTCACCAAATGTTACCGACGCACGAAACTTTGAAGCCAAATACGAAATAAATGTAACAGAGTACAAAGTAAACTCGGCTACCGGAGCCTATATTTTAGCTTCCATGTAGCCTCTAGTAAATAGGATTTATAATTCTGGTGAGGCAAAAGTCTGCTTTTTGTGTTTGGAACCTGGTTTAAATGAGCCGAAGCGTTTTGTTTAAATGTTTGTGGTGTTTGTTATGCGTAAAGCGCTTAGCTTAAGGAAATACATGAAATCTATTTTGTTTCACTCACTGCGAAAGACCAGAAACAGGCCTATTGATTGACGATATTTAATTTAGGCTTGAAGTCAACAATCGACGCTTTAGCAGCTTAATGGCATTTCCCTTTAACATAGACTATTAGACAACTAAACAAAAAACGAATTCAAGCATAATCCTTTTCTTTTAGAGGAGCTCAAAAAGCAGCCCAAATGGGCACAGACCGGCGCAGGCCATGACGCAGTTCTCCTAAATCCCCGTGGCCTATTTGGATATATTTTCATTTTCATACGTGTCGTTTCAAGTAATCGAATAAATAAATTGCCTAAATAAAAAAATATATTTAGTGCTTTGAACTGAGAGTTGAGCGTTTGTGCGCATCCCACTCTTGACTTGTTCTGTGCGAAAATTAAATTATGTTGTTAATGTTTCCCTTTTATGAAATATTTACCTATTTACTGAAATGTTATGTTTAGTTTCCTCGAAGTGTGGGTTACTGATTTTGCAGTGTTAGATAAACAGACCTAATCCCCGTTTAACAGCAGAAATAGCACAGCCTAAATCAAATGGGCCTAAAAGTCACGCACATCAAGTATTTTACTCCGAGTTAGGCCCATTGAGAAAGTTTTAGTGCTCAGACGGTTAAACTGCTGTTGTAAAGCCAGAACACACACCTCAGTAGTGTAATAGTGCGGTGCTGCTGGTTTTTAATATCCTTCTGTACCTCCTCATATTCGTGGGTGCAGGTGATGATGATGGGCAGCCTCCCCGTTGCGCAGTTACTGCTGGAGTCTGGAGCAGATCCAAACGTGCGGGACCGCAGCACCGGGGCCACGCCGCTGCATGACGCAGCCAGGACAGGCTTTGCGGACACTGCGCGCCTTCTGGTCCAATACCACGCAGACCCGAATATCAGAGACAACCAGAACTCTCGACCCATCGATGTGGCCAAACTCGGAGGCCACGCCGAAGTGATCGCTTTCCTGGACACTTTATGAACATTATGTGCCGCTGGTTTGGAGCGGGGAGAGGACTGAGGCCTGCAGGGCCCCCTTCATAATAATAACGCATAGCAATTATTTATTAATAACTGTCCGTAATAACTGCAAAGGCAGTGGAATGCCAGAATGAAAGGAAAAATGTTGCACACATATGCTGCTGGCATTGGCCATTTAGAGCACTTTATTGCAGACTGCTTTGCACCCCCACGTGAATACCAAAGTGAAGAAAAACATTGTAAGTAAATGTAATGTGTAACACAACCCAATTCAAATTTAATGATATCCACGTTTAAAATATGTTCAGTTTAAAATAAGACATAAGAAATGTTGCGTCTGTGCCTCAAAAAACATTGGATAAAAGAAACAGTTAAAACCACCAATAAGACTACGCACACACTGCAAGCTAGATTTGTGTTTTATTTTTATGGAATAATAAACAAACAAAACAAAACAGAAATGGGGACCAGCGTTGGAGGTATAAAGTGGATTGAGAGATCACTTGTCTTAATACAAAATACTGGTTATGGTGTTTTAACTGAAACTAAATAACTGGAAAGTAATTGAAAAAAGTGAATGGGTTATCTAAGGCAAAAATCTAACGGAGTTTGTAAGAACAGTCCTTCAGACGCCGGCAACCAAAAACTAGTGAGCACTTTTCCAGGAGAAATTGTCCAAGTTTTTACACACTCTTAATGTTTTGGTAACATAACTGCAGATTGGGCCATTGACTGGAAAAAAAAAAAAAACAGAAGATTTTACAACACCACATAAACTCACCTTTCATGTTAATAATTATGTGAAATACTTACTTTTAAGGACACCAGAGTCTGTCCCCAGTCCATTTGGCTGATCTGTGGGATGGCTGTGAGGAGGATGCTGCTGGCCTTGTTTGCATTTTCTTTCATTGTCTTGAGCACATTGTCGACACAGACCTAGGAGCAAAATGAGAACGGAGTCAGTACTTTTCATATATTGGGCAATGACTATCAGCCTTAAATCTAAAAAAAAAAAGTATTGCATGAAAAAAGCTACTTAAATAAAACAGTAAAAAAAAAAAAGTAAGTAGTACTTTAAGAGTAAAAAAAAAAAGTGAAGATTTTTAGGTCTTCTGAGGCTTCAAATTCAGCAAAAATCTGTAAAAGCCTTTTCAGCAGGTCTCAATTAAAAAAAAAAAAAAAAAAAAAAAACACTTTTCAGTTCTATTCAAAATTGTAGTGGAGTAGAAAGTACAGATATGCTTTCAAATATAGTGAAGTAAAAAATATACTTGTAACATAAAGCACAGATGTATACTTTATTTGTTTTAACTTAAGTACAGTACTTTACTACTTTTACTTTTTAAAGAATATGCATACATTTTGAAGTAGTAGTTGTATTTTATTTTTATCAGCTATGAATTTAAAAGATCACAAATTTGCAGACATTTTACATAAAACTATGACTGAAGGGGCTGATGCTGAACAGTGTTGGGAAATAACTGAACACATGCCCTGAGGATACGTATTCGGAGTACTAATTTTGTATTTAACTGTATTCCGATACAATTACTTTTCATTTGGTGATATTCACAATATAATTACTTTCCTAAACTCAAAGGAACACATGGCGGTACACACAATTTAATCTTCAAACTGCACAAAATTTGTGACAAAAATATAAAACTCGACTCTCGTGGTGAGGGCATGTGTGTTATTTCCTTCTCTAATCAGTGATAAATAAATGTAGAAGACAAAAAATATGAAGAGTTTTATGCACATTTGTTGCTGCTAGTGTTGTCATGTCTTTGTTGTATATGTGCACTTTTAACATATTCAGCTTTTGTTCCAGTTTGTTGCATGTTATGATCTGTTTAGCTTTTCTACACTGCAAAAAGTAGAGTTAAAATGACTTAAATTAAGACCATTTTACTTTATTTGGGTAGATTCAACTTGACACATTTCTCATCTTAAGTGTAGCCAGATGGATTTTCATATTTTAAGTACAAAAAGTCTTGTTCCATTGGTTGAAAATTTTACTTGTCAAGTGAAATGTACTCAAATCATGATCAAACTTTCTTAATTAAAGCAACCTTACCAGGGCTAGATTTTATTTTTTGCAGCGTGAATATGCTCTGTTTAATCGAAGTACTGAAAGCAATAAACTGTGTGTATGAAAAATTAGCACAAATGTAGAGGCTTCACACAATACAAATACATAATCTGTTAATAAATAGAAGACTGAAAACACTTGTGGTCAGCTTTTTTTCCAACCATTTGCAAATTTAAATCAGAACAGATAATTAACTAAAACTTCCCCACTCGTAAAAAGAAAATAGGATAAATAATGATGCCCCCATAATTATTGCATCATCTAACACACAGTATATTGAAGTCCATATAATAATTAACACGACGGGCCTAATGTACAACTGAAAATATTTGAAGTAAATAAATGTGTGAATCATTTTCATTACAGATGTTATGATTTTGAATTACAATTTGGACTCAATATTTGTGAATTTGTTGAAATGTAACTGGAGGTTTTGTGATTCACTTTTTATTTATTACTACATATTATCTTGTTTCTAGCCTGCACTGATCTTGTGGAAATTATATTATTTCCACAGAAGCAGCGTCCATTACACACACAGCCACACAACCCATTTCCTCAAATTTATCAGATTTATCAAAAGACCATTACCCAGCTGCTCGGGACACACTCACACACCTTTTCCAATTCTGGTCGATATCAGGATATTAGTATATTAGTGCGTATAACAACAGGTCTATATGATTCTCTAATTTTGAGTTATTTTGGTGGGATAATACCTGTTGTAAATATAAATTATAGTTTTCCACCAATCAAAGATATGTTGAAAAATACAGGAAGTAGAGAGTTAGGGTTAGTTGATGAGCCTACGCATAAGTTGCACAACAAACAGTTTTTTGTGATACTCTTACAGACCCAGGTTTGTTTGTCCAGTTTGTTGACTTGGTTTGTGTGCGTTTTAATTTTTCCCTGCTGTGAGAGCCCTGGTCCCTGACTGGTGGGGCACTTCTACACCAGGCCAATCCTGCCTCACCTCCGGCCTCCTCCCCCTGTTTAAGAAGATCCTCCACACGTCTTTGTGGCCGGTCTGCCATTTTGTGTGTGTCTCTCTGGTGCCAGTCACTCGTTTTGGTACTAGTACGTGTCTGACTTTGTTTGTGCTGAGACACTTGGTTAGTTTAGTTCTGTTTTGTGCCTTTTTATTTTGTCACTCGATTCTGTTTGTGGGTTTACTCTGGGACACTTGTGATTTAGTTTTGTTGTGTGTCCCTTTAGTTTAATCACTCATTTTTGTATAGACCTGCGTGACCTGTTTTTTTTTGTTTTTTTTTTGTTAATCCTGTTATTTTATTTCTTAGTTTTGGTTATTTTCTGTACATATTTTAGCCTGATTTGTTAATTTACCTTTTTACATCCCTGTTAATTAAACATTACTTAATTTCCATTCTCCACCTTGTTTTTTTTTTTTTTGTCACTTCCCTGACCCTAGTGAGCTGGGTCATAACAGATACTTTAAACATTATTTCAACTAAATTATGATGTTTTATTATATTTTATTTGTCAAATAATATTATATGTTTAGAGTTTTGGTCCAGCATAACATGTAGGTAACAGCTAAGTATTCCCTGGTAAAAGTAATAAAAAGAATTATAAATTTTTCAAAACAAAATCTTCAATATAATGATCGAAAGTGTGTTTTAGCAAAATGAGTAGTTAAAGTGCCAATGATTATGACAGTTAAAGTAGCACAAGGACCAAAAAAAACTTCATTTTCCTAAAACAATAAATATTATATAACAAATTGTGTTATGTAGCTCTTATTTATCTCTCAACTAATTAGAGAACAAGTTTGTATTAAAAGTTCAAACATTATGAGCTTTTCTAGACTGATGAAAAACCAGTCTTATGACATAAATTTATCACCCCCAACGAGGATATGAGCAGCACAGATAATTTGGAACAGATATCTGATCCAGCAAATTTTTATATGTGATATCACTAACAGTATGTGTATATGTGCATCCCTACCAGCTGCACATCTCCTGTTGTTCACAAATTTTATTCAAACCTCCCACAGACTTTTCAGAGCACCGTACCTTGGGGCAATGAGCCTTCGCCCACACTGTCCCTCTGGAACTCCTTCCCCCTTGACACACAGCTTCAAAACTCACCTTTTCCTCATAGTCATAACACCCACAAATGACCGCTTCCTCATTACTTTGTCTGCCCTGTCCTTGTTTATGTGACAGGGCCCATCACGCTATTTTCTCTGTTGCTATGTTGCTTCCTCATAAAAAACATACCCGGGGTTGTGTTTTGTTTCATTCACACATGCTTCACACACACTCTGCTCCACGTTCTAATGTCACGTGGTTATACCGGAAGTGCTCCACCGTGTTTTTAAACTCCTTTTATACACCTTTACAAGAATAATTTGGAGAATTTCCGTCCTGGAATTTGCAAACTCTACTGAATTAAAGTTAAAAAGCAGCAGTTAACTTGAAAACTACCACTGACACAAGGTGGAGCAGAGCATTTTTAGCTTTGCAGATGCAGATGGACTAATGATAATGCAGGATTACTCGAACGTGTGAAAACAAAACACAACTCTGGGGATGTTTTTGATGAGGTAACAACATTACAACATGGTTTAAAGCTCACAAGAGTAAATTTTGCGCAATATAGGACCTTTAAATAACTGTAACGTGTGAAAAGCACTGCATAAAACCTAAGTATAACTACAAATAATAATCATGAAAGCTGCAGGACATTTATTGCTGATTTCCTAGTCTCCTTGAACTGCTTTGTTTTGCATGTCATGTCTGAAATACAATGTTTTGGAAGGGTCTGTCCGGATTAAGATAGTGACCCGTGATGACTCAACGTGATCTGAATGACTCAATGACTTCCACCGGAGACGAGAGAGCAGCTTCCGAGTGTGGGAGGGTGGGGGGCGGGGGCTGGGGGGGTAGGAAGGGGGAGGAGGGGCACAGGAGGTGGGGTGCAGGAGGTTGGGCAGGAGGTGGGGCGGTGGTGTGATGCAGAGTGTGGGAGGAAGGATGTGGCGAGAGCTACAGGAGGGGCAATGGGTCAGCTGCAGGATCTCGGAAGTTAGACTTATTACGGGTTACACGATCAGTGACAAAAGAGACAATCTCTTCCCCACACGCTGTACACGATGCCAAGTTTATGAGGTCAGACATGAGCACAGTGCAGATACTTGACGGTTAATTATGTAACCACCAGAGGAAGAAAGAGGCTGCCAAATACGATGAAAATATGTAAAAAAGTATGAAAAGTTAAGACGTTTTATGATCGTTGAAACTTTAAACACACTATTTACGTCAAGATTTTCTGATTATTTGTGGTAGCCAACATTAAAGGCGCATTGTGTAACATCTAATGGACGGTCTGCCACTTGCATGTCTCCATGGAGATGTTATTGTGTTGTCTTCAATGTTCCACACTATAGATTAAACCCATCTATCACTATCCCTATTTACAGTAAGAATTATTGTGTTTTTGAGCAATAAAAACACTGGTAATGAATAAATGCTAGATGGATATGTTTAAAGTTATACCAAGGAACATCCCAAACATCTCCATGGAGACAAGCAGATAGCAGACCGTCCACCAGAAAAAATGTGCAGTGCACCTTTAAGAAGTTTTATGATTGTCGAAGCCTTAGACACGCTATTTATGTCAAGATCTTCTGGTTATTTGTGGCAGAAAACATTACACTTGTCTCAATCAGTCATACATAAACCACTGAAACTTACACTTTAAATGTGCAGTGAGGCCTGTCACAATAACGGATTTTGTGTTACAAATGAAACGTTATATATTGCTGAAGTAAATACAGAAACGATAAACAATGATACTGAAACCAAACCATAAAGCAGAATTTTCCTCCAAAAACTATTCTAAATGTACAAAATTGTTAAAAATATAAGTTGCAATAAATAACAGAATGCAACGCTTACATAGTTAAATTGTGTCTGTAATGAGTCATAAAAGTCCATAATTCAAACATCCTCAGATCTTATCACAGTACAGAAAAATAACCAGAATTTTTCCACTAGTAAAAAAAAAAAAAAAAAAGAAAAAAAAGATTGTTCCCTCTAACATATATTGAATAACAAATCAATATGGCCTATGTGAAAGAATACTAATACTAATACTAATACTAATACTAATACTAATACTAATACTATATGGACACTGTGTAAAGTAATATCTCATGCCCATTTTTCACCTATAAACCCATCTGTGTATTCGAGCCGGACAGAGCAAAAAGGAAAGGTAGTGTTCCCAGGACCGTTACAGTCTCCAGCCACTCACCGCCTCCTCGTGCTCCTTCCAACAGTCATAGTCTGTTGCCATGGCGATGCTAGCATAGCACAGGCCGGCCTCTTTGGCGAGTACCACCTCCGGCACCGTGGTCATGTTGATGACGTCGGCGCCCCACTGACGGAACATGAGGCTCTCAGCTCGGGAGGAGAATCTGGGACCCTCGATGGAGATCATGGTCCCTTTGACGTGACACTTTACCCCAAGACCTCGCGCCACCTCCACCAAAACCTGCACCAGAGGAAAGAACTGTCATTATAACACAGTTTGATATTTTATTTATTTTTGTATTTATGTTTATTAAGGACATCACAATCGCATTAGACAAGTCAGATGCATTGCTTTGAGTGTTTTAGCACAAGTGTTAGTTTTCAATCCCCGACCATTAAAAAAATAAATAAAATTTAAAGTACATGCATAAAAACAGATAAGATGAGACACATAAGTTACATTCAGATAAAATATATACAGTTCATTTTCAATGGACGCATTTTTGATAAGAAACAATAATACAATAATTTTAATTTACGTTTAAATTTGTTTTTTTTGGTTTCCAATTTTAAATCATCTGGTAAACAGTTCCACACTCTGGTCCCTTTAGCAGAGAAAGAGACTGACCAAGAGTTTGTTCTGTACATAGGAACAACACAATTACCTCTTCTGTTCGCTCTGTGTACATTTTATGGTCCTGGCAAATTCTGAATACAGTGCTGTATCACACTTAAAAAATAATTTAAGATTATTAAAATTGGTAACATTTTTAAAGGTTATGTTTCTTTAAACTTTCGCAGTTGTGCCAGTGTCTGGGCATTTTGTCAAGGACCTTAACGGCCAGTTTGTAAAACAAACAGAGCGGTTTCAATGTGGCTGAGGAGGCCTGCGACAATGAGTGTATACATGCACATCAGTATCCTGGTTATTATCAGGTTTTTTGCGTATCCCAGTTTCGTCATGGTGCATGTATACACAGCAGCCCGAATACTGCCATAACTAGAATATGGCTAATAACCGGGATACTGATGTGCATGTATACGCACTCAATAAGATAAATGCGGGCAGATCATTGCATTCATGAATAGTTTTGAAGTCTGAAGCATAATATCTTTATGTTTGAAGCAAAAGCAATTGAGCCTAGTTTTAATTTTCTTCATCGAGTATTTTGTGTGACCGATAAATTTGAGAGGCCAAAGGTATTTAACTTCACTGACTGTTAGAATTTTCTCATTGTGAACAGTCACCTCAAAGTCACAGTTTTTTGTTTGTGTACACTGATATACTTCTGAAATAAATATAGATGATGATGACAAGACGAAATGTGTGTTTAATTCTAAGATTTATAAATTGGGATAATTTCCGTGTAAAGCCTGGAAGAAACCACAGACTAGACTTTCAGATGGCAGAAGGGGCAAGGGGGTTCGGTAAAACTAATATTGTTCAACTGCAGACTTTTTCTTGCAATATATAATATATAATAAAATATGGTCTTAGGTCTAGTCAGTAATAGAAATGATCAGGTTTCATATTTGGTATTTTACCTTTCCGATATTTCATGGCAAAGAACAAAAATAACAAAAGTACAGTGTAATCGATAGCAAAAAACACCTCTTGTCCCTCATCACATTTTAGAATCTGAAATCCACCAATTAATTTGAGTTTGTAACACATCTGGCCCATTGTATTTTGTTTGTGGTGTTTTATAAGCCAAAGCTGGGTATATCTGTATGCAAGACACAATAATAAAATAATTTCAAATTCAGTAAAGATGATAACATAACTAATTTATACCACTGACCCAAGCAAATTTAAACCACTGATCCAAGCAGATTTAAACCACAAAACCATTCTAAATCTACAATATTGTCAAAAAATGATGAGCTGCAATGAGTAAACAGCAGAATGAATCACATTAGTGCTTAGTTCTGCATCTGTAATGAGTCATATTCAAGATATTTATTCATACTTTCATGTCTTAAATTTCATCATATAGTCAAAAAATAACCAAAGATTCCCCAGTAGAGCAAAGAAACTGTACACCCAATAAATATTGACCCCAAAAATATATTGTTCCAGCTTTCCTATATTGACAGAAGATAAATATTTGTATTACTATATTTCTATATATTTGATTTTTACTTGTATATATAGATTTACATAATTATGCTCTATTTGACGCTGGTCTCTGGTTATTTTGCTACTTATTTTGTATTTATTATTACGAGTTATACTGTTGCTCTCTGTTATTATAATATATTGTGATGTGTGAGCTACTGTGTCCAGATAATCTCCCTTGTGGGTCAATAAAATTTGTCTAAGTCTAAATCTAAATAACTAATAATATCTCAGTAGTGCAAAGAAAAAGCAGCCACAATACATATTTACCCCAAAAATTATTGTTACAGCTTTCATCTGCTGAGTGATACAGTAGGTCAGTATAGTAATTATTGTGACAGGCCTATACCAGAGAGTAGAGTACAGTTATATTTACATTTAACAGAATAAACAGGATTTAGAAGTAATATCCACCTCTCTTGTTTTGTTGCAGAATGGTTCAGCCATGGGGATGTGGCAGACTCCTGGAGGACTGCTCTGCTGTCCATCGTACAGAGTCTGGGCTCTCTTAGTCGTCCTATTTACACCAACAAACATACATACAATACTTATGTTAACTACATTCATACCATACTCCATATAACTGTACAACAATTCACCTTTACAGTATGTAACAGACGTCAAAGATCATTTTTGCACGGTTTTCCTAATGACCACTTGTATATAGCAGAGAAATACAGTATTTTTATTACCATTTTGCTGTATTTTATTTCTACTTGTACCTATATGTTTATATAATTATGCTTTATTTGCCGTCAGTCTCTTATTTCTGCTACTTATTTGAAATTTATGATACAATTTCTCTTTAGATGTGTGAAAAAACCCTCATTCATCCAAGTAGAATCCATGGCAAAGGAGAAATTCAGGTTGTCGACTGGACAAAAGTTAGTTTGGTCGAATACGTTTCGCAGCTCATCCAAGTTGCTTCTTCAGTTCTGGTCAGAATGCTGGTGGACACTTCCTTATATCTGTCAGCAGGGAGGAGCTAACTACTCTGAAACTAACACACCTACCTGTTTACAGTTTCTGTTAGTTAGCTAGGCCTATTGAACTGCGCTGAGTGTGGAGTCATATTAGCATAACCATTCAGGGCCATAATGGATCCTTTCACATCTTTGGACCTGACATGGCTACAGCTATTGTTCTCTTGCTTATTTTAATTTAGGTCTGAGGATGGAGTTGTAAAGAAGATAGATGGTGTCTGAGGTCTCCATTGTCTCCACTGTCCTCAAAAGAGCGACCTGTGGCTGTAAGATGGAGATGTACAGAAGACTGAGGTCCACTGCTGCTCTCTCGTCTCTGTTGGTACATCCTCTTCTGAAGTAACAGTTTAGTTTCTCCAATGTAGCGTTCACTGCAGTCTTCCTTACACTAAATGGAGTAATACGCTGTGAGCTACTGTGTCTAAATAATCTCCCTTGTGGATCAATAAAGTCAGTCTAAGTCAAAGTCTAATTAATTAAATAATATGAATGTAACAATAACTAAAATATTGTGATATCATATCATCAAAAGTCTCAAAATAATATCATGGGCCATTACAACCAGTTCTAGGAAGTAAATGAATACATGTATGGAGAATATGTGAATGAATGAGACATTAGACAGACTTTATTGATCCACAAGGGAAAGTACTTGGACACAGTAGCTCACACATCACAATATATTACAGTAACAAAGAGTACAAAATATAAAAAATGGTAATAAAACTTCCAAATAAGTAGCAAGAGACTGGTGTCAAATAAGATGTAATTATATAAATGAATGTACAAGTAAGTAATTAACTAATTTTGAGTAACTGTATTCAAGTACAGTTTGTTGGAAAACATTACAATATTTGATCATGTAATTTATGCTTCAAACTGCACATGATCAGTGAAAATAATAGAAAACACAGCTTTGGTAGTGAGTACATGTGTGATTTTTCCATAATTTCCCATTAGTATTAGTCCAGACTACATGAACAAATAAGAGTTATTAAGCATTTTAAATCTTAATTCTTTGGATTATGAGAGAAACCAAAGAAAGGCCAGGGCATTTTAAAAGGAAAGTAGCATATTCACAGTTCTTTTAGCCTTCACAAAATATAGCAATTAATATACCAAATAATGAGGTGCATACCGTGCAAATATCGTACTGATATTAACTATTATTTACTATTAACTAATGCCTTCTTCTGGCACATTCACATGAGTTGGTTTGACTGAACACCAGTTAAATGACGTCTTTTTGAGCTGATGACCTATAAACAGCTGCTTACTGACCCAAATGACCACTTATGACTACTGTGTATTTGCTGTAATGACAAACCATAAAATAATGTAGCTGGAGAAAAAGTCAGGCCGTTAAACCCTGCAGCCATTTGTAAGTGTGTCAGGGGCACACTGGCACAGAGTCTAACGGCTGCCCATGGGACAAACAATACAGTCTGTTCATTGCAAAAAGCTTCCTATTTTGTAAACACAACACTGCAGTATCTCTCACAACTGTATACAACAAATGACCACACAAGTAAGGACACTATTACTGTCACATTCAAATTAGGTATCTGTTTTAAGACTGCACAATATCTAAATATATTCATACTGAAATCAGAATTTGAGTTGCAGCTATTATTACATCGCAAAGGCTGCATTTTTTAGATAACAATGTTCTCTGCCAAGAATACAATATCCAGAATAAAATGCAGGTGTCATGTGAACCATTTCTTAATTCTTCATTTAAAAGTGGCCTAAATGGCACACAAGAATTTAAAAATTTCTATTGCAATCTGTAGCATTTTATATAAATTAATATCCCTGAATGTGGCATCTTAATAAAAGCATTTACTTATATTATTATATCAAATTTAGAGTTGATAAAGTTATTTATTTAAAACATAAGAAAGTAAGGCATTTTCAGGTAGATCCCTGTAATTAATGTAAATGTATTGACCGTGATCATGAAGGAAACCTGTTCTTAGGTACACAGACTGACTTACCATGGCAACAGAGTCAGGATTCAGGTTAAGTCTCTCTGTGACACTAAGCTCTTTTTTTTTTTTTTTTTTTTTTTTTCCCGTTTTTCCATAACCACAAAAAATATGTCATTATAAATGCTGACGCTGCTAACTTTATTACATTAACATTTGCCAAAAAAACTGCTGTAACATGTTGCTGGACAAGTCTGAACAAGCCTGTACTAGGACTTCCTCTTTTACAAAACAGATCTGGTTCCTGATTCTATTTGTTGGGCTTCAGTGTCATGAGTAAACAAAGCATGATGCAGCTCAGTGCATGGAGGCATTCACGCAGCAGGCCACGAAAAAGAGGATCTATTTAGAGTGATCTTTGCACATTAGTCATGGGAGTTTTGGCTCCAGATCTTTTAAGATTAATTTCTTGGAGCCATTCAAAAAACTGTCTCTTTTATTATTTATTTATATGAGAGAAGCAAATGTAAGAACTAATTTTAACAAGAGAGAAATGAAAAGAAACAGAAAACGCACACCAAAATTAATGTAGAGGTGCAAATGCAAGGAGCAGCAAGATAAAAGTGAAAAAATGCATAGCACACTTAGATAGCCAATGTCCAAAGGCTTTTGTTTTTTTTTTAAATAACGTTTTGGCAAAAAAAGCCTTTGTCAGATTCCCTTCTTGCTTTGGACAACAGTACACGAGAAAAGGGTATCTGATGAAGGCTTTTTTTTTTTTGCCACAACATTATTTGAAAATAAAAAAGCTTTTGGATATCGGCCATCTGAGTGTGCTGTGCATTTTTTCACTTTTAACAAGAGAGAAATGACAAAGGCTAAGAAATGGTTCAAACTGAAAGTGGGCAAACCCATTGAAATTATGTATAATCTGCACTGTACTGTGGAACTTTTCTAGTGGAGGATCCGTTACCTCCTTGTCTTCATGGAGATGTTGCATTGTCCAAAATGCTCCATAGTATTGCATTACAGAGTTTCCTGCAGCAAAACTTGAATTTCCCTCTCAATAAAGTAATAAATCTCTGTCTGTCTCTCTCTTTCTCTAAAAAATTAGATTCCAACTGGTCACATTAAAAGGTGCACTGTATAACTTCTACGGTGGAAGGTCCACTACCTGCTTGTCTCCATGGAGATTTCTTTGCCTGGAGTGTTCCACAGTAGGGCATTAAACATATCGCCCTTTCATTTGTTAAATTATAGGTGTTTTATATCTCAAAAACACCTTAAAAACATTAATTCTAACCATGTGCAAGCTTGCTTTTCCATAGATCTGACCTGCCTTCATTGTGATTTTATTTCCATACTGTAGAATAATCAAGGCAAAACAGTAATATCTCCATGAAAACAAGTAGGCTGTGGAAAAGTTACACCGTGCACCTTTAAGGGACCATTCAAAAGAGCTGACTTGTTCACGGCTGTCACATCACTGCTGCACATATTAAGTTATAGTGTGGAATTTGTGCTATCAGCTAAGTGCTCAGGGCTCCCACGGGGCTGGACTTCTAGCACACAATACATAATGGATTTATGTATCGCCTGGGGGCTGTGCTTTGGTGAGAAAAAGTCTCTCCTGCACATTCACTGGATCAAGTGAGGTTAGAGATTAAAAGGCCCATATTACGCCGTTTTCTGAACTACTAGTATGTTATAATATTATTTCTTCGTCACAAACAGACCTGGAGTTGTGGTTTATTTCATTCACTCGTTTCATACAGAAACCTACATATTTTGGCTGAGTTCTTCTCTCAAACATAAAACACTGTGTTCCAGCTTGTGATGTCATGTGGTAATACAAGAAGTTCTCCACTGTGTTTTTAAACTTCATACACCTTCACTTGAATCATTTGGATGATTTTAGGCCAGGAATTGCCAATCGCTATTAAACTAAAAGTAAAAGGTAAATGTTAACTTGAAAATTACTGCTTCATGACATCACAAGGTGGAACAGAGCATTTTGAGTTTTGGAGATGTAGAGCATTACTTCCCAAAGACTGAGTCACAAGAGATTTTTTTGGGGGGGTCGCCTGATACACTCCTGATATGTATGTTGTGCTCTCCTCCTGCATCCCGGACTGGAACACACTACAAAAACGCAGACAGGCCCACCTATTTCATTAGAAATGTTGAAATATAAGGACATGTTTTATATCATTTCTAGCCTTTTTATTATTATTTTATTGACTATTTTGTTCTAATATTGCTGGTTCAATTGAATGTTGAAAAAGAAATGGGCTACATTTAAATGTCCAAATAGGCGCTTTATGGATCAGTTTTTTTACTGGTTTAATTATGGTTTTTCATTGTTTAAAACCTGAGTAATACTAATTGTTCAGAGAGACACAATAAAATATCCTCATTAATGTTCAATAATGGTCAAATCCACCTTTATTTTGTGATTTACGAATAACGTCTATTGACTTGGATCACAAAGGTTTATCACTTTTAAAATATGGGTCAACAGAAAAAAAGTTTGGGAAACACTGATGTAGAAAAACAAATAACAAAGGGTTACTTAAATGTGTGTGAATGACTCCAGGTATGTTTTTGATGAGGCAACAACATTATAACATGGCTTAAAGCTCACAAGAGTCACTTCTGCAAAATATAGGACCTTTAACACACAGGGCAAATTTCTTGACACACATCTAGTAAAATATGCTAATAATTTACGCGCAAATTCTCACACAACAACAAAAGCGGATATGCTATGAAAAATGAGACAGGAAAGAAACGTAGTGGTTTTAAAATATAGACATGCTGGCTCTCTGTTGTCTTGAGGGCGTAGTGAGCTTCTGCCCGGAGGTGGAATGTTACATTGACACTACACAAGCAACGCCCCAAGCTAGTTTGCCACCGCAGCAATATTAGGTTTTAAATGGTTCACACTAAACAGGAAACCTTAAATTTAGCGTAATAGTAATGAAAGTAAACTCTCCTTGCAGTGTCAGTTTCTCACAAAGCAACTCTAAAACGTCAATGAGATGTGTGGGAAGGTTAAATGGAAAAAAATACGAGTAAAATTGTAATATTATATGTAAATAGTTCCTGTACATAACCCAAAAAATAAACTCAGAGTCTCAAAATAAGTACTGATAAAGTCATCCCATAGCTTCACATATGCTATTTGAGATAAGAAGCTGTTCTGGCGATCTAGTCATTTGATAACAATAGCTGGAAACGCCTATGGTGGACATCATGTGCAGACACTGAAATGCTCAGCTGTACAGCACCCGTGACACTGGCCGTCACCCATGGGTTACAGAATTAAGAGTGTTGCGGTAGTGACTGACAATTTAATACAAAATATTATAACTAGTGAAAGAGGTAAAAGTCATCAAATTTATTTTTTTGTTGAATGTTCTCTGCAAAGAATGAAATATCCAGACTAAAATCCAGATGGCATATAAAGACAGTTAAATTAAATTAAATTAGGAAAAGCTTTTGCTTTTAAAATGCCTTGACAAGATTTTGGTGTGAATTATTTCTGTCATAATCCCATGAATTCAAGTAAAAACATATTTCTTCATGTTGTCTGCACTGAAATGAATCATGGGATATGTAGTTCCCTATGTTTATAAGCTGTTGCTACTATAAAACCACGCATTTCAGCAAAGGAACTTGTATTTCAATATATTGTGACAGCCCACGATATTATTGTGAGACTTTTAACGATACAATATCATGATATTTTGCTTATTGTTACATCCCATCATTTTATTTGATACAATTATTTCTTTAAACCATAAGAGGAAGACAATTATTGCTAAATGTCTGTAAATAATGTAAAACAATAATCATGATTAATTCTGTTTCTGTAAAACCTGTTCTTAGGTACACAGAGTGAGTTACCATGGCAACGGAGTCAGGATTCAGTTTAACTCTCTCTCTGTGAAACTAGGTAATTTTTGGCTTTCCATACTCAAGTGTCTAGACTAAATATATGTTTTCACTAAATATATATTTGGAAAAGTTAGTTTGAAAACAGTAATTAACCAAAAATCTGTAATTATAAATGCTGACGCTGCACTTGTGTTAAGGGTTAGGGTTAGTCAACAGACCTGCTGTCACATGCTGTGGGGCAAGTCTGAACAAGCCTGTACATGGATTTTTCAGGGATGCACCCGTGACAGTGGCCAGTCATCCATGGGCCTCTGAATTAGGAGCGTTGCCATAGCGACTGACAAACAAAATATTATAACTAATGAAGGATGTCACATATACCAGGGCACTGAAACCCATCAATAGAAAAGAAAACTGGCCAACATCCTATCGCAAACTTATATTGTTCAGTTATTTATTAAAAACATTCATTCATATATAATTTAACACACAAACCCTGCATATTTAGGCTGAGTTCTTCCCTCAAACTGCAACCACTCTGTTCCACCTTGTAATGATGTGATGTGGTAATACAAGAACAGCTGTGTTTTTAAAGTGAATACACCTTCACTAGAAACATTTGGATAATTGCAGCTCTGGAATTAGCAATCTCAACTAAACTAAAAGGTGAAAGAGAGCTGTTAACTTGTAAACTACATGACATCACAAGGTGGAACAGACTATTTTGAGCTTTGGAGATGTAGACAGCCTAATAATATAGCATTACTCAAACATGTGTGAATGAAACAAAACAAAACTCCAGGTATGTTTTTGATGAGTTGACATTATGATATGACTTAAAGCTTACAAGTATTTTATTGTTCCTGTTATTCATGCTCTATGCACAGACTGAAGACCAAACAATTATCTCAAATGAAAAGTGTCACCGTTAAACTCACTGACCTGTCGATAAACTGATCAATGATGACAATGTCTCCGGGCTGTATCTCCTCCCTGAGTGAGCCGCAGGCAGTCGTCACCAACAGATGTGTGCAGCCTTCTTCTTTCAGCGCCCAGATATTGGCCTGATAGTTTACATTGGTGGGCATTATGGTGTGCTGTCTTCCATGTCTAGATTGAAATGACAAGAAACATTTCAAGGCTTTGTTGTTTTAAGAAATGTAAAGAAATAACAGCATTAAAAAAAATAATAATAAAGGCTGATGGATGGTAGGCTATAATCATAAAATACAATGTTTCACTTAACTTCATGTGAGCTGTAATTATTCATATTTACTTGATTTTTGTTATAACTTTCTTATCTGATCCTAATATTTAATCAGTCTAAAACCTATGGGGATTTATAACATGATAATCTTCTGTCCTATCAATCACTATTTCATCTTTGCACTGTTTTATAGCCGATACATATTTGTATTTCAACAAATGTGTGCAGCTTTCTTCTTTCAGAGCCTATATATCGGCCTGGTAGTTTACATTGGTGGCATTATGGTGCAGAGGAGGGACCAAGTCGTTGTTTTGCAAGTCTCAAGTCTTTGACCTCAAATCCAAGTCAAGTCCCAAGTCAAATACAGGTAAGTCCAAGTTTAGTCTCGAGTCACTGGCCCATAAGTCCAAGTAAAGTACAAAATATAGGTTAGATTTTTGCAATTTATATGAATTTTAATCTAAATTGTACATAAAAATTCATGGTACATGAGTATTTATATAAGAGCTGTAGATGTGCAAATTTTTCCTTTTTAAATGTCTTGACAAGAGTGCAAATTATTACGGTCCAAACAGAAAGAGTTAAGATTTAAAAGTGCTTATTAACAGTTAATTTAAGTCACAGGGCTCAAGTCTGAGTCAAGTCCCAAGTCAATGACCTTCAAGTCCAAGTCGAGTCCCAAATATTTGTCCATTTTATCAAATCAAATCTCAAGTCATAAAAATAGTGACTTAAGTCTGACTCAAGTCCAGACCGAGACCTCCGTTATGGTGTGCTGTCTTCCATGTCTAAATATAAATAACAAGAAACAGGCTTTTTTTGTTAGATTGGCTCAACATGATTAGAATTTTAAAACAATTTAAAGCAAAAAACAAAAAAAAAAAAACAAAAAAAAAAACTTCGAACTTGACTGATCCACAAGGGAAATTATATGGACACAGGAGCTCACACATCATAATAAAATATAATGACAAAGACTAAAACTATGAATGAATCAATATTAATAAGAAATTCAAGTAGCTAAATTAACAAGAAATAAAAAAAAATACAGAAATATAGTAATACAAGTATATCTCAGCTCAATACAAAAGGTTGTAAATAGAAAACAGTGCAAAGATGAACGAGAGAATGACAGAATAGAAGAATGTTTATTACGGAAGGGTGAGTAATAAATCTCTCTGATCTGTTCCTAATATTTAAATCAATCTAAAACCTATTTGCATTTCTAAAAATAGCTCTGCCAACTACTAGTCCTGTCCACTAGATGGCGCAAAACGTACATAAACAAGCGTCTCACCTTGCGAGGAGAACACATTCAACATTCTTGATCTTTCCCAGAATAAGAGCGTCTGAAGGCTGTTGAAAAGGTTAAACAACACAATGATGTAAATGCACCGAGGATAAAATGTTATAAAATTTTTTTATTTAATTAAATCTAAAAACAGACCTTTCCATAGGGAGTGTCCACATATCTCTCGGTGCGTCCTTCCAAAATGTCTGGATCATCTAGACCAGAGCCTCCAATAATTCCAATCTGCAGGATACACAACATATTCAATAATAAGAAATTTAAAGGTGCACTGTGTAACATTTCTCATGGAGGATGTGCATGGAAAAGTTATTCCTTTGTCTAGAATGTTCCACAATATAGATCAAACCTACTGTATCTATAATGAGGGATACTATTCATAGAAGGATTTATTGTATTTTTGAGTTGTACGTTGTAACTTTTCAGCTGGAGATCCGTCACCTGCTTGTTTCTATGGATACATCATTGCTCTGCCTGGAATGTTCCACAGTATGACATCACTACTTTACATTTATTCAATTACAAGTAGTTTAATGGCTCAAAAATACCTAGAAAAAACAGACATTCTGACTTAAGTGGGGTCACCTCTCCACAGATCTGACCTCTTACTTGGCCTGGTTCGGTCTCCATGAAGATAGAAAGTTTTAATGCCATACTGTGAATCATTTCAGATAAAGCAATAACATCTCCATGGAGACAAATATCTTAGACAACCTTTACTGATCCACAAGGGAAATTATTTGGACAAAGTAGCTCAAACATCACAATATAATATAATAACAAAGAGTAAAAAGTATAAATGGTAGTAATAAATTCTAAATAAGTAGCAAAAAAGTAAGAAGTAGGTAGTAAAAGATTATAAAATATAATTATTCCCCAACATGAGCTAAATGTTTAATGAATGGTATTATGCTGATGTCAACACTGCAATAGGATACAACACAAAAGCTCTCCTCAAAATCGCCTTACAGGACCTCCGCCTATTTCAAATACTAACAGTGCAAATAATGTAGACGTGTCTTTTGTTCATCTAGACAAGTAACCCATTCATTCACATCCTGCTCAGAAATCTCACATAATACAGTCTAGAAATGTTCTGCTACCACAAGAGTATCTATGATTAATGAGTGTTAAAAAATATAATGCTGATTTTGATGTAATTTGAGAGCCTCCCACATCTCTCTGCTCATTCATGACTAACGTGAGTCAGTATAGTCGCATTTTCTTTGTGTTTGGTCATTTTTAAGCCGCTTTTCAGTATTTTACCTCATCAAATGACAATGTACGTGTGTATCTCTTTACTGTTGGCAGGTATCAAATTGGTCCAAAATAGGGACACCTGAGACATTTCTTGTATAAAACTGCGACAAATCTGCTGGGACAGGGGACACAGGGCTTAAATCTTGAACTGTCCTGGGTAAATAGGGATGTCAGGTCACCCTATCCCACATGAGAGCACATTGTGTAAGCAATGTAATAAGTGCAATGTAATAAGCTGTCGTGTCTTATGAAGCTGAAATGGACAATAGTAAAGACAAACTTTAAAAGGTGCACTGTGCAACTTTTTGTTTGGGGTTCCGTCATCTGCTTGCTTCTATGGATATTAGGAGTCTGCAAAAATATCAACATATCGATATATCGTGTCATTTAATGCTGATGCAATATCAATGGGCTGCTCTATCGCTATACTGGTATCTCCAAGAGTAATTTTGGTATAAAGATGCAAAAAACCCGAGACATTACAGCATGTATTAATGGACAACTAACAAAGTCTCGAGACATTTCAGTATGACTTTCCACAGGGGACAAAAAAGTTTTGTAAAATTTATTTTTATTTTAACCAGTGAGTGCCTTGTGAGTTTTTTGCATCTTTAAAGGGACAGTTCTGAATTTTGGACATAGGATCTCATTTCCTAGTGAGCCAGAGTGTTGGAGACGTGTGAAGACACTTTTTTAAATATTCTATCCAGTCCTTGTATTTGCAGAGGTCACTGGTGCTAGGGTAGTGCATCTCAATGGCCATAGTTATCCTACCACTAAAAACAGTCTTACCCAGTCCACAAAGCACCTGAAGAAAATCCATTATTACACCAGACTGTCCATGTTTGAAATAAAACGAACCTTGCGCTGCATGAATCGTCACATGTTAAGGGACTATTTTCTCAGCAGCAGTGGAATTTTACTCTGCTCTAGTTAGTTGTGATAATATGAATGTGGCCATATCTGGAACAGGCATCTTTGTGTGCTCTATGTTTCGCTATGGCAGCTGCAGGTAAACAAACTATTACTGAGCCGGTAATACAGGTGCCAGGTGATATCAGTCCGCCACTGCCAAGCTTTCTATCAGGAAGTACAACTCACTGCTGCTGCTCAGACACAAATCCTTCAAATGCAAGGTTGGTTTTACTTGTAAAATGATTCTATCAACACAGACATTTACATCAACAGTCTGGCGTAATAACAGTTTTGCTTCGGGTGTTTTGTGGAGTGGGTAAGACTGTTTTTAGTGGCAGGATAACTATGGCCATTGACATGCACTAGCCTAGCACCAGCGACCTCTGCAAATACAAGGACTGGAAAGAATATTTTAAAAAGTGTCTCCACACATCTCCAACACTCTGACTCACTAGGAAATGAGGCCCTATGTCCAAAAATTCTGAACTGTCTATTTAATTTGATTTCCCTTTCCCAAAAAGCACCACTGTGTTCTATCTATTGTATATTATGCTCTGGAGGTCCAGGAAGCACTCCTTTTGACACTTTTATAGTAATTTTGGTATATTTTACTAAAGTATTTTGTTACAGTGCTACAGTTTTGCTGCTTGTTTAGTAGAAGGAAACTTGTTTATGCAACACATTTGACATTTTCACTGTTTTGATGATTAAATTGTCTGTGTTTCAAGTTCGCTTTGCACAAGAAGTGTTTTAACAAAGACTTTTAGTATCACAGCCATGATTTAGCCATTATTTTTTATTGAACCGTACAGAATCAATTTGAATCGAATGTTGACTGTATCGAGATATGTATCGTATCGTGGCCTATGTACCGAATCGGCAACTTCTTAATGATACCCAGCCTCAATGTATATGTCATTGCACTGCCTGGAATGTTCCACAGTATGACATTACAGAGCTTTGACTTACATTTATTCAATTACAGCTGGTTTTATTGCCCCAAAACACCTAGAGATGAAAGCAGGGTTGCCTCTCTCCACAGATCTAACCTGTAACTTGGTCGGGTTTGGTCTCCATGATGACAGAAAGTTTTAATACCACACTGTGAAACCAGACAAAGCAATAATGTCATGTCCATGGAGAAAAGCGTTTGACGGATCCTCCACCAGAAAAGTTACACAATACACCTTTAGTAACTCAGAAAAAGATGAGAGACAGCGTTGCTAAGAAGTAAGGACACGTGTATTTGACCCTACAATCAAAGTAATACTAAACATCATGCAGCAGCCCTCAAAGATGCTCTGAACTTGCAGATAAAATTTAAAATATGTCACAATTATGTAGGGCATGAAGACCACGTGCCAGCCCTTGTGTCTGTCTCATCCGGTGGTGGGGCATGTGTTTAGTGACTGCAAACTATTGTCTGTTTGCAAATGAAATGCTAATATCTATTTCTCTGTTTTAAATGAGGGCTTGGAGGGTCACACATGTGCATTCCGATCCCAATATAAAACCGCAGACAGGAAACGGACAAGTCCACGCTGTAATTGGTCTTACCTTAATGGTTTGAGATGATGCCATGATTCAAATCGCTTGCTTTTCTTGTTAAAAAAAAAAAAAAGAAAAAAAGAAAAACTAGTTATTTTTCCGTCATGTTCCGGAAGAAATTACAGCCTTTAGCATCCGTTACCCACGTGTCATTTTCTTCCCGTATTTCTTCAAAATAAAAGCACAAAGAATAAGACGCAATGGAACAAACAAAGAGCAGTAAAGGTGTCAAAAATACAATTAATTTGAAAATGTGTTGACATGCTATTAATACATATACATTTAATACATTATATAGATTTCACTAAAATATTTTGATTATAAATTACTACTTCAGTGGTTCAATATAAGAATTATAAAAGTTTACTATCGTTAATAACATCGAACACAAAGTGCAGTTGGATAATTTATTACAAATATAACTTTTTTATATAAACACACATTCTCAGTTAACCCAGACAATGTGAAATAAAACTCATCCCAAGATTAAACAGCTGACGTAACAAAATTCACTGCTGATTTTTCTTTCTCTCACTACTTTAAAATTGTATAGTTTAACTGCAAAATGATCAAATAACGCAAATACAACTGATTTAAAAGAAACAAATAGTTTTGGCAGCATAGATTTGTTTACAGTGGCACCTTCCTTACAGTTAAAATGTCAACTAAAGCGATCATTAAACCACTCCCCATATTATCCGGCCCTAAAATAGATGATGCAACATGTTTGGAACGTAAAGATCATATATTACACAAAACTGATTCTCGTGAGCTTTAAGCCCTGTTATAAATGTTGTTACCTCCTGGAGTTGTGTTTTGTTTCTTTCACACGTTTGAGTAACCATTTATTATTAGTCTGTTTACATCTTCAAAGCTCAAAATGCCCCTTTGACCTTTTGTTTAGTAGCAATAGGAAATTCCAGGGCAGAAATCATCCAAATTATTCTAGTGAAGGTTGCTCAAGATTACAAACAAAATGAGGCACTTCCTGTATAACCATGATATCACAAGGTCAACCAGAATGTTTTCAGTTTGTGAGTTTGTTTGTTAAACATGTGTGAATGAAACAAAACACAAGTCCAGGTATCTTTTTGATGAGGAAACAACATTATAACATAGATCAGAAAATACAGTAATATGGGCTGTTTAAAAAAAAAATTATAGTATCCAGCTCTAAAAAAGGTGATGTAACTTGTTGAAAACTTCTTTTTTGATTGGCGTTCACATTTTAAGGTCAACCCCACAGTGCCTCAGTGTCCAGAGGAGTGGTCTCCGCAAGGTCTGGTGAGGTTTTATTGGGAGAGTTGTGAGTGCTATTGTCCTGAGTCCCATCCGCGCAATTATCACTGTCTATGGTGATGACGTTCGACGCTCGCTTCTCTTTACGCTCACTGCTTTTATGTCTTTTGCTTTTCTTCTTGTGCTTCTTTTTCTTCTTACGGTGCCGTCTACTCCTCTCAGGTGAGTTTTCGGAACGGTCGAGCTCCACATCCTGACTTTTATCTTTGCTTTTTTTCCTGTGTTTTGACGAACTGTGTTTGGTGGAGTCTTCACAAGGTTCCTCCAAGTGCCTGGTTTTGTATTTCCGTTTTCCTCCGGGCTTTTCGTGGTGAGATTTTCTTTTCACGGATGGGGATCGGCTACTGGAGTAGGATTTTGAACGTCCTCTGTCATGTCGCCTCTCTCTACTCCGGCTTCTCGACCGGCTGTATCTACCATGGCGACGATCTCTGTCATAATGGTGATGGCTCCCTGAATGACTGCTGTGTGTGTGTGTGCTGTGGCCATCCCTCCTTTTGTAGTAAGAGTAATAGTCATCTCTGGTACAGTTGGTATGACCCCTGTCTCTGCTGTAACTTTCTGGAGTTCTCCGGTCTCTGCTTCGTGATCTTCTCTTTGCCCTCTGCTCCCTGTTTTTAGATCTATGTGCGTCTTTGTGTGTCTCTTTGCTTCTCTTTTCAGGTGTGTGTGTCCTCCGACTGGTTTTATGCCTTTCTTTTACATTTGTTTCAGGAACATTTGTCTCTTTTTCTGAGATCGGATCGTCAGCAGGACCACTACTTACTGATACTGCGGGACTGACACTTGTAAAACGAATGTGCTGAGGCAAACCGGGCCTTTCTTTATTGTCTTCATCATCTGAGGAGTCTGAAGAAAGTTGAACAAGCTCTGGAGTCCTTTCGGCAGTGGGTTTGACAAAGCCCACTATTACACAGTCCTCACTATCAGAGGAAAAGCACTCATTCTGTGGAGTCTCTGCTTTTTGGTTAAGAGGCCTTACAGTTTCCACAGGAGGCTGAAGGCCCCGGTCTTCTTCCACGCTGCTGTCAGAGTCAGAATCTGGCAGTGAGAGCTGTTCGACCCGGCTGGACTCTGTCTGGGTGGAGTAGGACGGCCCAGGCGTCTCATCGTCCCACATAGAGTGACTCATGTTGGTGGAGCTGGAGTCTCCTGGAGGATCCAGCTCTATGGACTGAGCCTCATCCTCTGATAAAGCAATAACAGAGGAGTTTGAGCTGTTTTCATCTGTGGAAGAACGGCCTTGGTAGTCATAAACTGCATGCTGATCATAGGCTTCCATATTAAATGGCGACTTGGCAAAGCTGATGAACTCGTGCAGAAAGTGTTCAGTGCAACCCTGAAGAAACGGCCTGAGCTCCTCTAACATGGCTCCATCTTCCACATCATAGCGAGTGATGCGTGACATGACAATGTGCTGTACAATATTCACCAAAGAGCCATGTGCACCATACAGCACCATCAGTTCTCTTTTTAGCCAAGGCACAAGTCTGTGTAAGCAGGCGGGATTTCTCCTGTAGAATTCAGCAGATGTATCTCGAGATCGGCCACCATCTCGCACGCCCCGAACTCTCACACCTTGACGGTACAGTTCCTTTCTGAAGTTGATCATTTCCTGTTCTCTCAGATTATTAACAGATCTCCCTTCACTTGCTGCTCTCCTCTGAGCAGCCAGTTTTGTCATGATGCGGCGGATGTAGCGGTCTTGCCTTTGTGGTGCAGGGTTGGTCGAAGCTTCAAACATGACTCCATTTTGAGGAGGTGCAATTGTCCTCTGTCGACTGACCCCTGTGAGAGTGGTGCGGTATCTGAAGCGTACACCCCCAAAAGTCCCAAAAGAGCCGTTGTCTGCAGGCTTCAAGTCATACTTCTTAAAGTCCTGCTCTGATTTGATACTGTGATAGATGGAATTAAAAGGTTGCTTGCATAGTGGGCACTCCGCTTTGTTCTTGGACCACTCGTGAATGCAGCGGAAACAGAACTTGTGTAGGCAAAGGTCCAAGTATGAGATGTTGTTAAACATGTCCAGACAGATGGGGCACTTGGAGTCTGGAGACACTTCGGTGGACACCTCTCCAGATTTTCTCTTCCCACGTCTCTGGTTGTGCTGTAAGGCAATCTTGATGGCTGACATGGTCTGGGAAAATAAATGAAAAAGAAAATAAGTAAAATAATTCCATAACTTCAAGCTTAAATGAACAAAACATTATTTATTTATGGGATAACTTTATATTTCATATATAACATAACATAACATGGACGCGGGGCCGACTCGTGTTATAAAAAAGCTATTTTAAACAAACCAGCTAAGTTTAGAGTAGACAGCCGCGTAGCACTAAAGTAGCTTTAGCCTCAGACAGTTCGTTTGGTTCACGCCTTTTATAGTTCATTTCCACTTAACGTTAGGCCTGTGTAATTCCGCATTTACACTTTATTTTTAAACACTCTTGCCTGTTGTTAGCCATCACAAGTTAGCTGCCGCTGTATTAGCTGAGATAGATATCACTGTTTTTAGACAGAACGAGGGATAAAAGTTCATAAATTACCTCTGATTTCCCCATAAACTTGAATAGTTGATCGTTGTGTGGCTTTCGCCTTCTTAATCAGATGTTTTCTTTCATAATCTCAGAATAAAACACTAGTTTTCGTGCCCAAAGATTGAAGTAAACCTTTCATAACACCGCGCTCTTCTTCTGCTCTGCCACAGCTGTCAACGGAGACTCAAGGCTGCTACACTGACCCCTACCGTCTCCTTACGCGAACTACACTTCTTAATTCTTATGCAGCTTGACATTTAGATTTCTATTTTATTTATTTTTATTTATAATTATTACCTCCGCCAAGGAGGTTATGTTTTTGCCGGCGTTTGTCTGTTTGTTTGTCTGTTAGCAACATAACTCAAAAAGTTATGGACCGATTTTGATGAAATTTTCAGGATTTGTTGGAAATGTGAAAAGAAAGAACTGATTTCATTTTGGGGGTGATCTGGAAGAAATCCTGGATTCTGGATCACTTTGAAATTTTAGTTAACATTGTGGTAAATGGGGCCAAAAATTTTGTTTCTCAATATCTCGGTTAATTATTTACCAAACCCCATGAAATTTGACTCAGGGATGGACAATGGGATCCTCTTTCATATTCCAAAGGCTGATCCGGATCTGATCCAGAAGACTGATTTTAATCGCAATTTATATAAAAAATGGGGGTAGTCCTTGGCGGAGGTCTGCGCTCTCTGAGTGCTTTTCTAGTTTATAATTATAATAAAAATGTCTGTGGTGTTTGCTAATGTGTGCATTGTGTCTCTATGGCAACTGCTGAACATTCCACCATACACATACATGCAGAACATCCCACAGCACGGTGTCACAATCAGTACTGTGCATTTATGATTAGGTGAATGTGGAAATTCATTTTACTACCTAAGCATTATCAGCTGTAAGATAAATAAATATACAGTATAAAGCATGAACAAAGAATAGAACAGCAAGGTTTTGATAAATGTTACAATATTTAATTAATATTCACAATTATTAACAGACACCAGAGAAACGTATTGACAGTGAACTTCAGTGATGGCCGTGGATCTCAGGGAGAGGTGGAACCACTTCACCGGTCTCCATGATTGTGTCACCCTAAAGTCATGGAAGATCGGGAAAATGTCAGATAATAAAACTGACTATTTTTGCACAGTTGATTGTAATTTCGATATTAAAAAAGGGAACATTTTTGATGAATTTACTTACAGGAAAGAGTTTAGGCTTCAGCTCAACAATACCGTATGGTTTTTGCTGCAAGGGACAAACAACAAATGTGATTAGTTGAGAACACATTGATGACACTAAAGAGTTGCATAGATAAAGACAGAAAAATTGCGGTGTTCAAAGGTGTTGCTTCATTAGTGTGACACAGCTTTGATTGAGTGTTATTTTGTCCTTTGGCAAAACACCTTCCCTGTGTAGAGCTGTAGTCAACTAGAGAAATTCTTTGTTGACTAAAAATAGGCCCTGTTAATCGATTAGTCGACCAAAGCTGCATTGGAGTCCATGAAAAAGTTATGCAGAAAAACTACAAAGAAACACTGTATTTATATAAGAAAAGATAAACTTATGAATTGTGAGTTTAAACTTCCTTGTTACTTATAAATATCAATACCAGCTAACTCACTCAGTCACTACCTTCTGAGACTTCAGCTGTCCCATAAAAAAACTTGCTTAATCGACAAATATTTTGGTCAACTAAGAAACTAAGACTCCCTTGACCAATTAATCGATTAAATACCTAAATGACTAGCATGGATTGAATGAATAATCGCTACAGTGTCTGAAGCCTAGAACATGCCAAGGCAGTATTATTATTAAAGGGCCTATATTATGCTATTTTCTGTTCTATTTTTCTGATATTTTGTGTTTCCTCATCAAAGACATATCTGGAGTTGTGTTTTGTTTCATTCACACATGATGGAAAACACCTTGTGATGTCGTGGAAATACAAGAAGTTCTCTACTGTGTTTTTAAACTCCATACACCTTCAGGTGAATCATTTGAATGATTTCAGCCTTGGATTTTCCAAACTCAGCTGAGCAAAAGGTAAAAGCTGCTTCATGATGTCACAAAGTGGAACAGAGGATTTTGAGCTTCGCAGATGTAGACAGAGTAATAATAGGTTTACTCAAACATGTGTGAATGAAACAAAACACAACTCTAGGTATGTTTTGGTGAGGTAATAACATTATAATATGGCTGACAACATAACAAGTGCATAATATAGTTCCTTTAATATTGCAGGTCGATTTACCACACTTATTGGCAAATTCACAAGAAAGTGTAACAGCACATGTGGACCGCGTGCTTGAAGTAACCCAAATCTCAGAAACAAATACAATACAACTCTGGTGAAATGATGTGTTACTTACAGTGAGGTGGTATTTGACATAATAGTGAACAACCCACGCTGGTATGAGTAACCGTGTTAAGGTGAAAACTCCTCCTCTGTATGCCTTGTAGGTCTGCAACAGAGAAAATAAGACATATGTTCAATCTGATACACAAAATGTAGAAATATAGAATAAAAATGAAATTGCTGACATGACTTGATTTAAAGATACTGCAGAGTTAGGGTGACCAGAATTTTAAAATAATTAAACTGGGACATCTTTTTTTTTGGTGGTTGGTGATAATAAAATTGTGAAATGAGTGCGTAATTAAGGAAAATTGTTATGTAGAGACCATTCATGACTAATATAAGAGTCAGTACAGTCATATTTTGTTTGTGTTTTGGTCATTTCAAAGTAGCTTTTCTGTATTTTACCTAAACAAATCATTTATCAAAGAACTGAAACTTTATTTTGCCTCTCTCACCTTTATAGACAACAATAACTCTATCATTGTAAAAGAACTGATCATTAGCCATGAACTCTTAGACACCTGGCACCTCTTTTAATTTAATTTATGTTTTACATTGTCCCTGTCATACTTAATGACTTGACCATTTAACATTGCCGTTTTGTTTGTATTATACTATTTTACATATAATAATGATACTACTACTGCGACTACTACTACTACTACTACTACTACTACTACTAACAATACTACTACTACTAACAATACTACTGCCATTACTACTACTGCTACTAACAATACTACTACTGCCACTACTACTACTACTACTACTACTAACAATACTACTACTACCACTACTACTACTACTACTAACTACTACTACTGCCACTACTACTACTACTACTACTACTACTACTACTACTACTACTACTGCCAATACTACTACTGCCACTGCTACTGCCACTACTACTGCCACTACTACTGCCATTACTACTACTACTAACAATACTACTACTACCACTACTTGGCAGGGATCAAATTGGTCAAAATTGGAATTTCTTGTATACAACTGGAACAAATCACTGGTTTTGGACAAATCTGCTGGTACAGGGGACACAGGGCTCAAAACTGGGACTGTCCGGGGTAAATTAGGGACGTCTGGTCACCTTAAGCAGCGTGTTAGCTTCAAGTAGCTTTATACTAAGTTATGGTTTTGCACACCACGGAAAGTTCAGTAAACATGCTCAAATTCTTCAACTCATTTTGCCACGATTTTCTTTTCAACCCACACTCAAATTCTAGCTTTGCACCAGTCACTCACGTAAATCCTCCACAGGCTCTTGGGCTCGAGAAATCCAGCCCAGAACTTCGCGATGGGGCCCGGAGGCTTCGCTTGGATCACGGGCTCCCTCGGGCTCAGCTCCTGGTCCTTGAGCCACTGCCTCCGGAGCTTTACTAACTGATCATAGCGCAGTTTCTCATCTGGAGTGTACCCAGACATTTCTTTTTCTCAATAGTCAACCTCCAAGACCTACAATGACACCATGGAGGACACTTCCCCGAGAAAAGCACCAAACACCAACCAACGTGACTGCAGAGAGAACACCTGCCGCCGGATGTACTGGGAGCAAATGTTACAGCGACACCTACTGGAACAACACGTACGTGCAATGGCATATACAGTCTATTCCAGACCTGGGCATTGTACAGCTCCGGGGTCACTTTGGTTGACTCTGACCTGCCTTTAAGGTAATTTGGCATTACAAAATAAACATATTTTATTATTTTACTTCATGCATGGACTAAAGCTAGCCTGATTCATTAGCCGGTTTCACTTCGTTTTTCATTGCTTAGTCATAACATAAACTTACCAGTCTTACCAGCTTATCAAAACAATGCTATTTACTGCTTTTTATACAGAAATACAATTCATATTATGCAGAAATTAGTTTAGTATTCTTGCCTGGCCCTCCACAATTTTTTCTGTTTCTCATGTGGCCCCATGGAAAAACAAATTGCTCACCCCTGGTCTATGGTGTGGTGTGAGGGTAAAAATGTGGTCATAATATCATTCTAACATTTTTTTTTTCCTGCTAGTAATGAAACCACACTGGATTATATTTCTGTCATGCATTACCTGTTAGTTGAGGTTTAAAATTGGTGATTTTTATTTATTTATTTATTTATTTATTATTTGTGTATTATTTGTGTATTATTTGTTTATTATTATTTATTTTATTTTTGAGTAAATGACACAAAATATATTTAAATAACGAAAGAAGATACAGGAAATTAAATACCAGAAAATATAGCAGTTGGCACAGTTGTCAGACACAAAATGTAAACAAATAAAACAAATAAAATCAGGGGAGTAATATTTGTAATAGAACAGAAAATAGGTTAAAGTTACAGTGTGTTGCATTTCAGAGGTGACTGACCAATTTTGTTACTTTGGTTTAAGTAATTCAGTTTAATGCAGGATATTGTAAAGCCAAATAATATAACTTCTCAGCTTTTTTTTTTAAATTTTTTTTTTATTAGTTAATGTTTTAATGGTTGTAAAATATTGTTGGATTTTCGTTTTGAATGATTTGGTTTACTATTTGCTCACAAAATCAGTGAATTCTAGATATTATTCTCCTTGGGCTTTTATTGTGAAATCGAAAGCGGAAGTGCTCTCTTGACGCGGTCCGTGGTTCTGTCGGTTCCGTCCGTCTGTCACGTGTTTTCAAAGATAAAGTTAATACAATTTTACACCGACGATTAACTTTTCACCCGCAATAGAAATGTCAAGGGCACATTTGTGACATGAGGCTACGACTTTGTTCCGATTCGGGTAATTTTCTATGTTTCTTCTCACTCAAGTAGTGTTTGAGTTGTTTTTCAATTGTGTTTATGACAGGTTTGTGGTCCAGGCTAGTTTGTAGCTACAGCAATAGCCTATGACCTAGCATTTTAGCACTGTTAATCACTAATAAAGATAAAATGGCTTAAAAGATTAGGGCACTAGCGTAATTATAACGATGATCTTATTATAAGACATTTCACGGTGATAAAAGTAACATTTGATACGTTTGATATTTTTGGGGGGTATTGAGAATATGCAAACTAAAGCTATAATAAGAGGAAGTTACATATTAAGTTCTTCTCTAAACACATCGAAACTAACCTGTCTCTCTTGGGTCTGTGTATGTATAGAGCAGAGCAAAGCTGCAGAGGACTGTGGATGGAGTCAGCACACGGACCTTCTTCTGTAGTTCCTCCAGAAGCAGGAGGTGTTCAGATTCATCTGGTTCATCAGCATCAGAAAGATGGTCAAATATTTCTGTAGCTACACAGACATCCGCAGTACATGGGATCAAGTGGTCTCTGCTTTCTGGCAGAGGTACCCCAACCCTTTCAGGTATCTACAAATTATTATAATACTGTTAATGAAATAGAAACAATTGCAATAATGTGCACATGTGAACAGTGAGTGAGTGTATGGTGGAAGGAGCAGGGGGCAGCAGGTCCGGGCAGGGTTCGGGGTCCTTTCCAACATCTTTTTAACCAGAGCTTACACCTGGGGAAAGTCCTGTCTCTCTGGAAAACTTCATGTGTCATCCCTACACGTCAGAAGACTCCCTTCCCCCACCCCACCTGCACAGAGGATGGAACAGTCACGTCTTTTAAGTTCTTGGAAGTCGTACTGGACAAACTGGACTTAAGTGAAAACACTAACCTGCTCCATTAAGAGTCAGACCAGGCGGTACTTCTTGCGTAGGCTGGGATCTTTCAGTATCTGCCCAAACGTGTCCATCTACTGTACAAATGCTTGTGTAAAAAGTGGTTGTTAAGCGTGCAAAATCCAATACAATTATTATCATGTCTTTGCACATTAGTTTTGACAATGCTGTTCTGCTGCCAAAGTCCTTGTGGATTAACAGCTCACATGTGTTTATTGTTTGTTTCAGCACCCATGTCCTGACAGAGGACGTCGTGTATCGGGAGGTGACGTCAGACCACCGTCTTCTCTCCAGGCGTCTCCTGATGAAGACCAATCGTCTTCCTCGCTGGGCAGAGCGCTTCTTCCCCTCGGGCATGTCTCGCTCCGTCTACATCGTGGAGGACTCCATTGTGGACCCTGTGAACAGGAGCCTGACCACATACACGTGGAACCTGAACCACACCACTCTCATGGTGAGGGAAACTGTACACAAGTCTATATAAAACATTTGAGACCTATTATGCAAAAATTGACTTTTTAGACTGTTTAACCATGTCATAGTTGTTTAACCTCACCATATTACTCAGTTCTATTTGGAGTGATTTGTACATGGGAAAACGCCCACTCCTCTCTGTACTTACTTTGTTCCCTAATTTTGTTTTCTCAATCGGTGATACACGCAGGTTTAGCAGTGCTGTGAAGTCAATTGAAAATATATATATATAAAGCAAGTATAATGGGTCTTTTTTAAAAGGTCATACACCAGAATATTTACATTAACACCTGGCCCAGCAGACAAAAGCAGATTGTGTTTTAATCTATTGTTTTAAAAACAGACCTTTTTGAAGCGCACAACCCCTGAAGCAGAGTAGTTTGTTTTAAAAAGAAGTCTGTGTTGATGTCGACTGTGGCCTTAACTCACACACTTGAATCATTAGGATCATTTGAACTTCTGTTTTCCATTAAAGTGTCAGACATGCGTGTTTATTTGCCTATTTTCCCAGTCAGTGGAAGAACGATGCGTCTTCGTGGACTCGGAGGAGCAGCCAGCCGCCACTCAGCTCAAACGGGAAGCCTGGATTTCTTCAAGCATTTACGGCTTCTCCAGACCCATCCAAGTACATTTTTTTTCAGTATTATATTACAATACATGGACTTGCAATGTTATCAATAATAGTGGACAAAAGTTACATTAACATTCTACACCATTTGATTAAAAGACTGCACCGAATGACCTTAGACTTTTGGACACAGTAGCTCACACACCACAGTATAATATAATATAATAACAAAGAGCAACAATATAAATGGTAATAACAAATGCAAAATAAGTAGAGAAAAGAGATTCATGTCAAATAAGGCATAATTATACAAATATATATGTTCAAGTAAAAATTAAATATGTATAGAGAAATATAGTAATACAATCTTGGCTATAAACAATAGGTGGGTAAGGAGAAACCGTGCAAAGATGAAATAGTGATTGCTGTTGACATTTTTCTCCTCTGGCGTATTCCAACGTGACAATGCCAGGATTCATCTGGCTCAAATAGTGGAAATAAATAGATCGGAACTAAATAACCTCATTACCAAAATGTTAATTCATGTTTTATTGTTTTTGTTGTTCCAGGAATTTGGATTGGCTCGCTTTAAGAGTAACCAGGCAAAGGCCATGAAAGGACTGGAATATGCACTGTCTAATTTACAAGGTATGTAGCATTTAGTAGCACCAGAATCACAAAATAGAAACAAGAATATGGCACAGAAACACCAGAAATGTTGTTGTGCTAGTGCCTCCTCACTATTTTAAAGGGCTTATATTATGCAAAATTGACTTTTATGTGTGTTAAGGTATGTTTGAATTTTGTTAACGCCTAAAAAAATATACCTGGAGTTTTAAAAATATACCTGGAGTTTTATACCTGGAGTGTTTTGTTTCATTCACACGTTTGAGTGATCCAGCATTATTAGATTGTCTGCATCTCCAAAGCTAAAAATGGTCTGTTCCACCTTGCGATGTCATGAAGTGGTAGTTTTCAAGTTAATAGACACTTTTTACCTTAAGTTCAGTAGAGATTGGAAATTCCCGGGCTGAAATTATCCAAATGATTCTAGCGAAGGTGTGTGGCCATTTGAGTTGGTGCAGGTTTTTTACACCATATATGGCAGCAAATGTAGCAGAAGATCTTCCAGTGTTAAAAAAAACTTTGAGGAAATGGGCCATTTTATCACCGACCGAAACACCAGAGCAGAGTCAGAACGAGACCTTTCCTGTTCTGTTCACGTGGCGCCCCCTGGAGGCTGCTGTGATGCTGCAGGACACAGAGCAGGGTCACTTTTGGCTTTTCCTCTCCTCAAACTGGCCTGACATAGATCTGATGACCCTCTCTGACCAGTCCTCCTGTTAAACTGCACTGAGACCTTTGACTGAGACACAAAGGCCACGCAGCTGCAACAGTCTGATGCAGTGAAACTTGAATGGTGTTTTGATTTGAATGGCGGTGCATGCAGACATAGCGGCCTCTTGCTCTCCTAATCATCTACGCATGGAATAGAGAGAAACGTAATTTTGATTCCTTTGTATGGCTGGGTATCATTAAGGAGATGCTGATACGATACATTCCTTGATAAATAGGCCATGATACGATACAAATCTCATTACAGTGAGCTTTCAGTTCGATACGGTATATTTCAAATCGATTCACTACAGCTCAATTATGGCTGTGGTACTAAAAGTGTTTGTTAAACCACTTCATGTGCAAAGTGAATATGAAAAACATTTTAATCATCAAAACTGTGAAAATATCAAATGTGTCGCATAAACAAGTTTCCTTTCACTAAACAAGTACCAAAAATGTAGCGCCGTAACAAAATAATTTAGTAAAATATACTCAAAAATACTCTGTGTTATATATCGATACAGCTGCCCATGATATCAATACTGTATCATCATATTAAACGACACAATATATAGATATTTCAATATTTTTGCACACCCCTGTTCCTTTGTATGTCTAGTGCATGTGAAGAAATTGACAATAAAGCAAACTTTGAACTTTGAATTCAAAAATACAGTGGAGCACTTACCACATGACATCACAAGGTGGAGTGTTTTCTGTTTCAAAATAGCTCAGCCAAAATATACAGGTGTTAGTTAAGATGTGTTAAGCATGTGAATGAAACACAACACAACTCCAGGCATGTTTATGATGAAGAAACATTATAACATAGATCAGTAAATAGCGTAATATGAGCCCTTTAATTAAACAAGTGAAATAAAATCTTCAGCACAGAGACGTGAGCCCCGGGGATTGTCTGAGCTCCCTGGCGCACGGGGCTGTAGTTACACGGACTGTATGTGGGGCTGAGGCAGGGGTCTGTTGTCTGCAAGAACACTGTCTCATTGTTGATTCTGCCTCTGTGTGGATGTGACGCAGGGATTGGCATCAGGCTGGGTGTTGGGTAAGTGTGTTAGCGTGTGTTAGCCTGTGTTATCCTGTGTTAGTCTGTGTTAGTCTGTGTTAGGGTCGGGGCTTTCGTCTGCCATCCCACCCCCTGCTTCTGGCGTCACATGATGCTCTGAGTTGCTTCTCTGTTTCCCCTAGGCACAGAAATCCACTAGCAGTCAAAAGTTTAGATGTGCTGTCTCATTCAGTGTTATTTTTTTATTTATTTTACTACATTCTACATTTTATATACATACAGAAGACAAGTAAATATATGGAATTATGTAGCAAAGAAAAAAATACATATCTTCAAATCCTCAAAGTAACCACCCTTTGCTTTGTTAAAAAATATTTATTATTATTTAACTTTTTCTTTACTATATAATTCCATATATCTTGCTTCATATATTTGATGTATGTGTCTAAAATGCAGGAAATAGTAAAAATAAATAAAAAAAACACTGACTGAGATGGGCTGTCCAAACTTTTGACTGGTTGTGTATGATACCTGTCAATTCGTCAACAGAGTTACAGAAATACGAAGTACCGTGTTTTCCGGACTATAGGGCGCGCTCTTAAGCCTCCAACCCCATCAAAAAACGACTGCGTGCCCTGCAATCCAGAGCGCGCTATACACAAATCCACTCGGATGTCCCAGCACGACTTCAGTAAACTACAAAGCGCTCGCAAACACACACGGAGCAGACAGCGACCATGCAGCGAAAAACACCCACAGACACACTCATCACTCCACGCAGACGAGGAACGTAATGAAGGAACGAACCGAAAAAGCGAGTGCAATGTCCCACTTCTAGCCACAACTGAACAACTGAGTCACTGCGAACACGTCAACAATCCAACGGTCCCAGACAGCACCCTCCCTACACGCCACAACTGAACAAAGCCCAGAGTCACCGTGAATGCGACAAACAAAGTCCGGCTGACTCATCTAACTGTCGTGTTTCGTTTAAAGTCCGGTACATTTTATTTGTGAAAAAAGTAAAAAAATAGACCATTCAATGCCAGTGCGTCTTATAATCCAGAGCGCCCTATAGTGTGGAAAATACGGTATGTATGTAGAAAGTAGTAAAAATAAAAAAAAAAAAACACTGAATGTGATGGACTGTCCAAACTTTTGACTGGTAGTGTATGGGAGTTACAGAAATACAAAGTAACTCAAGATCAGAACTTGCGTAAAATGTTTTAATACACATTTGCATACTCAAGATTGTAGTAGTTGAAGTTCAAGTTGCAGTAGTTGTGGTGTTATTGGTAGTAGTGCAATAGTTCATGCTTTGTCTGTGTGTCATTAAGTGTCTTTAAGGTTAGACTGGAACAACCTTTCCCTGGAGGTATTTTGTAGAATTACTTTCTCCCGAGTGTTACACCGAAAAGCGTTTCATATCCGTTACAGATACAAACATCAGGGATGGTTTTAGCAGAGCGGTGGTTCAGCTGTTTAAATGTTACAGATTGTCGGCCCCTCCATCTGCAGCAGTGAAACCCACTCTCGATCAGCGTAAGAGGGCTGTGGTTTGGCTGTCTGCTTTGTCTTTATCTCGTGTGTATGAAGGAACTGTTGGTGAATTGTTCTGGGCAGATGTGGAGATAGCAGGTTCAGTGTGAGGGCAGACCCACACTCACACACTCACACACTCATTCACACACAGGCATCCTCACAATCACACAGGCTTGTATTGCACTTTTCAGGATGCTCATGTCCCTTTACATTTTTGTGCATTACTGTATTCTTTTACCCCACTTTCCCTGGTGGCGAGCTTCTATTGTAGCCACAGCTGCCCTGGGACAGACCAACTGAAGCGGGGCTGCCAGTGTGCACCGTCAGCCCCTCCGACCAACACACACCAACACACACTTACCACATTCATTCTTGGCGTTAAATTGGATTTCTCTAGTCAACTACAGTTTGCAGATTTGTAAATGTGACAATAACAGACTTTCTTTTTCATAATTATTATTCTGTTTATTTACATGTTAAAGTGTCTCAACTGTTTTGGAATTGGGTTTGTACCTTTATCATAATCTTCATGCCCGACATGCATGACCAGCATGAGAAATACAGTACATCTATGTTACATTTTATTTTCCTCCCATCTGCAACAGTGTAAAACATATAAAACTTTGAGTGACTCCCACTAAGGAAGGTGTCAGTGCTCATGTTTTACACAATATTGTTGCAGCTTCAACTTCATTTTTCATAGGCTTTTTAAGGTCTGAGGAGAAATGTATACAAGTACAGCTTTTGATCTCTCCTTTTATCATAAGATACTGTAAAATTGTAAATAACAAACTCAACTGAAGAGAAAATTGTGGAAAAGGACATTTATTTCAGTAGTTCAATTCAAAGATCGAGTCAAAGCAAAAAGTTAGAAGATTTATATTAACATAAATAAAAATATAACATGATCATGGTATAGCAATGACAACATGTTTAAAGGGCCTATACATCGTAAAGTTTTGTGTAATGTTTCCTCATCAAAAACAGACCTGGAGTTGTTTTGTTTCATTCACACATGTTTAACACACAAACCCTGCATATTTAGGACTGAAAACGCTTTGTTGATGTCACTGAATGGTGATACCAGAAGAGCTCCACTGTGTTTTTAAACACCATACACCTTTACTAGGAATTATTTGAATAATTTGCAGCTCTCGAATTGCCAAACTTTGCATCCATTATTGTTTTAGCTTTGTTGAAACATCTTCACTTCAAGGTACACCAGAAGATATTTACACAGATATTTGTAGCAATCTCAAGTAAAACAACAACTTAGGATGTTCTAGTGTAGAGTAAATCAGCACAGTTGAGGCTAAAATAGTTGTTAACATTGAAAACTACTAGATGATATCACAAGGTAGAGTGGAGCATTTTGAGATTTAGAGATGTAGACAGACTAATAATGCAACGGTCCATTACTCAAACATGTGTGAATGAAACAAAACACAACTCCAGGTATGTTTCTGACACTGCTTAAAGCTCACAAGAATGAATTTTGCTGATTATAGGACCTTTAACTTTGAATTGAACCACTAGAACAATGTCACTTCCTCAGAATTCCTTGATTGGCATGAGCACGCAGGACGCCCTTGTCGCATTGGAGCCTGTGTAAATGTTTATTTGTTGTTGAAACAGGAGAGACGCCCCAGCGGCTGCTCCGGGGCTCCGTGAAGGACGTTTCGGGGAAGGCTAAAGAGGCAGCGAAGACCATCGCTACAGCAGCAAGCCCCCAACAGAAGCCTCAGCAGTATGTCTGAACTCACGCTCCCAGAGTCAAACCAGGAGTCAAATACGCCGTATCTGCTGGACTGGGTTGGGTGAGAGCTCAATGAAAGCTGCTGTGTTTTCTCATCTTTGTTCTTGAATCTCAGGGCTGGAGATTTTGTATGAAATGATCTGCCTTTAACGGACTTTGATAAGCATAAATGAGCTGGAAAACGCACACTGCAACTCAAAGGAAGTATGTTCTCCCATATCGTTTATAGAAGGTTTTTTTTTCAGTTCATTTTAGTGATTTGATAGAGGGCGTACTAGTGATGGTTTGAAACTGGTATTGAGTTTAATTGTTATAATAGTCATAATTAAAAGACCCACCGTGTAAATTTTCATGGAGATGTTATTGCTTTGCCTGGAAATTTCAAAATTAAGCATGATTTTTTTTTTAATGCAGGTTTTTATGGCTCAAAAATCATACATTCTTCTGTGAGTAGTGTTGCGTAGATCTGAGCTGTAACTTGGTCTTATGGCGTCACCTGCTTCTCTCCAAGCAGATTGATTAGTTTAATGCCATACTGTGGAATATTCCAGACAAAGCAATAACATCTAGTAAGAGGCAAAAGGAGAAATTCAATGTGTCAACTGGACAAAAGTTTATTTGGTCGAATACGTTTCTGCTTCTTCAGTTCTGGTCAAAATGCTGGTGGATACTTCCTTATATCTGCCTGCATCTAGTACTAGAAAGTGACGGATCCTCCTCCTGAAAAGTTACACAGTGCACCTTTTAATATAAACAGGTGAAAAACAGCAAGTGACTTTTCAAGACATTTTGTATGAAAGACTCTTAATGGGGGTGAATATATAGCATTTTCTTCTATATTATTTATTATTCTTTGATGCATTCCCATGTTAGAGGAATAGACTTTTGTCATGAAGGTTATACACTTGATTTGCTTTGAGATCCAGAATACAACTTGGTCAGTACTTTAGGACGATATGAGTCTGATCACTGGTCAATCTCCCAGTTTTCAAACAGAGGACGTGACGGAGACGTGGTTTAGTTTGTCTGTATCGAAAAAAAAATAAATGGGAAAAGAAAGAAAACATCACATGGAACTGAAAAAACATAGGGGATTTCCACATAATCACTGAGCGAAGCATTAAAGAGAGAGATAAATTTGTTTTTATTTGTAAATGATAGGTGACCAGTGAGCTCTTTTATTTTCACATGCGCCACTGAAATAAACAAATCTGAAAGGGTGATCGCGTTTGGCCGGGGACTGAGAAGCGTAAAGGGTGACCAGACTGATATAAATCTGTATAAAAAATAAAAACACAGAGGGAAATCATTCTGGATTTGCTCGTTAGTTACCATTTAAGAGACTCACATATCCACTCATTTTATTATTACGGTTTTTCGGGGGTGGGATGGAAAAGGGGGAGACAGTCAGTCAGGACTCACGAACACAAACTGACTGCCAGAAATTAAAACCACAATAAATGAACCACACTATAGGAAAGCTAACCAGCCACAGCAGGTTATAAAACTGTAAGACTGTCTTAAAACAATGTGAAAAAATGTATTTATGTTATAAGTTACACATTTGCATTATCAGAATCTTGTTTTATTTATGCAGGGTTTCAAAACAGTTAAGCTCTTGTCATGCTTCACTGCCGCCTACTACTTATTTGTGTAAAAATTGCTTATTTATGTGATGACTGTTCAGTTTTAAGTTGTGATAGGAAAGACTTGTGTTCGCTTTGATTTGGTTGGTGGATACATGTTTTCCACGGCACATTTAAACAGAGCAGAACTTGTTTTGTTAACTGTACCAAAGTGACTTAAACTGAAGATTTCATGCTTGCTATGAGCCGCTGACTGTTATACTATACTTTTATTGTCATGTAAATTCAGCCAATGACATTCCGTTATGAAGATATAAATAGGAGTTATTTTCTGTAAGACTTGAATACTATATTTAATAATGTTATTTTGATGATTCTGTTTCTGTTTTGAAGTAAAACTGTTCATTGGTTCAGAAAGTGGACAAGAGAGAAGTGACTTATATTGTCTTTCAAAGCTGTTTGTTTTATCTTTTCTTGTTCAAATAAAATTGATTAGAGAATTGTATTTTGTACAGTTAATTTTGCTTCTTTTCACCACATTTGAGCTATTTAAATTTACGGCTGCACAATTTTGGGGAAATAAAAAATCACTTAGGTATGCAATTGTGATTATATTTGCAAATCATGTTTAAATGGGCTCATATTATGGTGTTTTCTGATCTATATTATAGTGTTGTTTGCTCATCAAATCATAACTGGAGTTGTTTTTTGTTTCATTCACATGTTTAACACGCAAACCCCAGATGGAAAGCATTCTGTTCCATCTTGTGATGTCATGTGGTAATACAAAAAATGCTGTAGTGTGTTTTTAAACTCTATACACCTTCACTAGAATCATCACTGCCCATCGCTATTGAACAAAAAAATAAAAAGTACCTGTTAAAAACACAACTAGACGACATCACAAGGTGGAACAGAGCATTTAGAGCTTTGGAGATGTAGACAGACTAGTATTAAGATCCTGAAATGTGTGAATAAGTGAATGAAACAAAACACAACTCCAACATTTTAACAGGACTTAAAGCTCACAAGAGTAAATTTTGCTTGATATAGGACCTTTTAAAAAGCAGGCTTCTTTTCAGAGCACATTTGTAAATAACTCCAGGAGCATTAAAGAGACTTGAAATCTGAACTGACACAAGTATCCCTTTCATTTCAGAGCACGTTTGTCAAGATCTGCACAGGTACAAAAAATATCTCTAACTAAAGGACAGGATATTTAGTTCTTGGCAAAGGACTCTATTATTTAAATAATTGCAGCGTTTGTGGTTTGATAATTACGCCAATTCAAATTATGATTCAGATTTGATTGTGGCATTATTTATGTAACCCTATTTTTATTACATTTTCACAGCTGCACAAACAGGAAGCCATCTGAATGTTCTAAGATACAAGATGCAGATCTTTGACTTATCTTGTTTATATAAACATAGCTGACCACAGTGACAACTTTGAACCTGATTCTTTTAACTATGAAGCGCCTCTTTTTTTTTAACAGTGTAATGGTATTGACGATGCCTTGCAGCTGGGTATTTGATTCTAAAATAAATTCCTTCTTATTTATTCGTTTAAGTCAAATAATTATATGCTATTATCTAGAATGGCTTTCTTCATGCTTTATTAAAGGATAAATGGATTCTTGTGAGGTTTAATCCATGTTATAATGTTGTTACCTCCTCAAAAACAAACCTGGACATGTGTTTAGTTTTTTTCACACGTTTGAGTAATCCTTCTGAGTTTTCAAGGTAACAGCTACATTTGAACTTTTGTTCAGTAGATTGTCAATTCCAGGGCTGAAATTTTCCAAATGATTCTAGTGAAGGTGTATGGAGTTTAAAAACACAGTGGAGCACTTCCTGTATTAACACATGACATCAGAAAGTGGAGTGTTTTTAGTTTGAGAGAAGAACTCAGCCTAAATACGCAGAATTTTTGTGTTAAACATGCGTGAGTGAAACAAAACACAACTCCAGGTTTGTTTGTGATGAGAAAACAACATTATAACAGATAAAAAAAAAAAAAAGTAATATAGTCCCTTTAAAACTATTTGCCTGTGCTGCCAGGTCTAAGAAAAATAAATTAGGCTAAGCAAATTTAGACAACAAAAACACAACCAGCTTTTCTTTTACTTTCCTTTCATGCATTTGTGCATCATTACAATTTACAATAAATTACGTAACGACTGAACACATCTGATCATTTTCAATTTCAGTCTAGAAAATAGCGTGAATGGGCCCTTTAAAGCTAATTAAGGTGCAGTTTTAAAAGAGCATTACCATGACACATTCCCTCACAATAACAACAACAACACCAGTGCAAGATTTATGTATAAAACATTTTAATTACTTTACAATGAGAGAAGAATACACCATACCTTCAAGTGTGTACTATTGTATAGCCAGCACCAGGTACACGTGTAGACACATTCACACAAAATAACACAAAAGGAACTTATATAACATCTTCAGAATGCATATAAGACTTCCACTAAAATAGGAAACATTTTCACAGGTCTCTGGCACAGAACTCTCCCTCCACTTTGCACAGTGCGCTAGCCCGAGCCCCATAGTCCTCTCTCCTCTCCTCTCCTACTCTTATTTGCTGGTGTCATGCGCAACAATGAAGAAAATACTGCATAAAGATGTTCGTGAAAGTGTTGTCGTGACCCATCGAAGCCGTTTAAAGCAAGCAAAGTGGAATTACATTGAGGAAAATAAAGCGTATCCATTTGGTTCAATATTTTACACAGAATTCTTGTTTTGGGAAGTTAGGGTTAAGTAAGGGCAACTTGAAATTCCATATATTTTTAGTTTTATTCTTTTTTATTTACATTAACCATAGTGTAATATACCATGTTGTACGTCTTAAAGGGGTGTACTAAAATATAATCCAAGTATTGTGTTTAAAATATTACATAACTACACCATTTGTATAAGTTGCTTTACAGATGCAAACTTCTGACTTCATAGTGACGTGACAATATTTGTTTAACACATCCTCGCTCTTATGTAATTGTTCTGTGTGCGTTTGTGTTTCTCTTATTGAGTCAAATCAATCTGGATATTATTTATGCGCACTAACATTCCCAAAATAACCCGATGTGCTTCAAAAAATAAAACACACGCTCCGGATAAAATCTCTTTGCAACTTGAAAGCAAAAACCATCTTCTAAGTGCGTACTCAGTCTTTATTTCCCTGCTTTGATCTGTGAAGGACTCCCCACTGGAAAAGCCCAATGGAGATTTATCTTGACATGGATGTTTATAATAAAAATGGCGCCAGCGGCCACTAAAAGAGCTAACAGTCAGAATAATCGGTACAATCTGAGTTTTTTTTTTGTAAGAAAATAACTTTTACCAAGGCACATCATCAAAAGAATTTCCATAACCTCCGTCCATCCCGCTTTGGAACCCGTTGTCGCCGCGTCCAGACCCACTGCATATAAAAATCATTCTTAAAGTGTGCTATGTGTGGTTTTCAAAGGGATGCACCGATCCAGCTTCTTCTGTTTCGATACCGATGTCGATACTTTGGCTTTAAAGGTGCGCTGCGTAACGTTTTTGCTGTTAATTTTATGGATATGTCATTGCTCTGCCTGGAATAATCCACAGTACGACATTAATCCGCTCTTACCTTACATTTAGTCAATTACAGATGGTTTTATAGCTCAAAAATATTATAAAATCAGATGGTCAGGACTGTGAGCGGGGTCGCCTCTCCACAGATCTGACCTGTAACTTAGTCTAGTTTGGTCTCCATTATGATAGAAAAGATTAATCCCATTCTGTGAAACTTTCCAGACAAAGCGATAACATCTTTTTGAAGGACGCCCCACCAGAAATATTACACAGCGCACTTTTAAGTTATACAGTTTACAGTCATAGGCAGTACTTTTTACTGCAAATTCAAGTATTTCTAAGATCGTTGGGCCAATTCCGCCCGAGGACCAATAAAAATGAAGTTTGGACATCCCTGCTTTAAACACAAACAATGTAAAAACTCAAAAAATGAGTTAGTTTTAGGCTTACATCGTCCAGTATATCGTTCTATTACATCAATTTATAATCCTAAATGGGATATCGAATAAACCGATATCTTAAAATGATATCTGATCCATCAAAACTTTCAGTATTGAAGTATTGTATCGGTGCATCCCTGTATTTTTCAATGACGCCACTGAAAAATTATAATCTCATTTCTGGCCCTTGACATTTCATTCTGTCCGTCTTTGACTTTTCTCATCGGGAGGTTCTGTGCAAGAGAATCATCATAATCCATTCAAATTGTTCGTTAAAACTGAAAAAGGACATTGTTTTTGCTACAACAGTCATGTACAAACCCTGGACATGAATGTAAACTCGCATGACAAAACAGCTTTTTTAACCCAAATATTTTGCCCTCCTGCAGTGTATGGAGAGAGTGCAGATAGGAGGAGGCCTGTCACGATAATTACTGCATTGAGTTTGTGATCAATAGGGATGGGACAAGATCTCGTGAGATTTTTTAGTCTACATTTAGATTGGACAATAAAGACTTAAAGGACCAAGCTGTGGTTTCAAAGTTTACAATTACAAAAAAAAAAGTTATTTATAAAATGTTGGACCAAAACTGCAAATGGGATCACGATTTCTTTAAATTACAAAGGTAAAAATCTTGTTTTGTCTCGATCTCGTGGACCTAATCTCGTGTCTGGTCTTGTTTTGTCAAAATTGTGTCTCGTCCCATCCCTAACGTTCAATATATGAAAGCTGGAACTATATTTTGGGGCTCAATATTTATTGTGTATACATTTTCTTTGTAAAATTTGGGAGATTTGGGTTATTTTTGTTGTAATACAATAAGATTTGAGCTGTAGAGGGTCGAATCACTAACTTCTATGGCTGATTAATGGTTCATTTTGCAGTTTTTTGTTTAAATGTGTTTACTGGGATTACCCTGCTTTGTATTTGCGCCATAACGTAGTTGCAATATTATTTAGTACAGTATATCGCTATAGCAATATATCATGCTTCAAAATTCATTATCGTGACAGGCCTAGGTAGGAGGTAAAAAAAAAAAAAAAAAAATCAAAATTAAAAACAATAAAAGTTGGTCACCACAGAGTCAAAAAGCAAAAACAGCTTGTCTTGTCAAAATACCCACCCCATTCCCTCCCTTGAAAGCACATGATGGTAATATTGCTGTGTCTTCTTCAGGATGTAACACTTTTTTGGGGGGGATGGACCACTGGAGGTTGCGATAACGCCGTAAGCTGCCATGGATTGGGTGATTTTTTTATCGCTCCTTTCCCAGTGGACTCCAAACACGTAGGTCAACATGTGGTATCAGTAAAAAAATAATAAAATGATGACAGGGAATAATTTATAACAAGAGCTTCAAGCCCCAATAAAAAGTTTGGATCCCCTTGGTGGACAGTTGGGGGTGACTGGAAGCTGCCATGGGAGATTACCAGTGTGTGGTTTTTGAACAGGTCGGAGGGCGATGCCAAGGGGGCGGGTGGGCGGGGAGTGGGTGATATCGGTCAGTAGAGGTCACTGTCTCATTCCCAAACTCGGATATTCAACTGAGAATCAAAACAACAAAGATTTCACAATCAAAAATGAACCAAGGGTCAGATCTACCACTTCACTTTTGTTATACGCTGTTGTGCACGTCCCTAATATACAACAATTTGAATAGGCTAAAAGTAGGCTATATTTTACACTGCCTCACATGCATTTAAATACAAATATGACTAGTACGAGGCACATTTTTTCACTAGTAAGCAATAAGCACCATAAATTTAAGTAATCAAGTTGTCGGATTCTCAGCTGAATATGAACTAAAGGAATGATGCACAGAATAATACAGGGCCATAGGTGATTTAAGTTTCTCATAGAGGTCTTCTGTTCACACGCCCTCTGCGCTGGTTGAAGTCTTTAGGTGTGGGGAGGGAGGGGGCGCGTTGAGTCTGGTCAGAGCAGGACAACACGGTCGAGGGGGGAGGAGTGTTACCAGGGCAACGACCTGAGCAGGGGGTGACAGGTGAAGAGGAGGATGAGGTCGGAGGAGGAAGGCTCACCAAGGCACAGAATGACAGCAGGAGAGTCGCCCAGAGAGAGGGGCTCCCACTCTCCCTTCAACAAGCCTGGCCTCCTGTCCGTCTGTCTCTCATATATAGATTTATATAGATAGAGATATACATAGATATACTCACTCTTTTTTGTCTTTTCATTACATGAGAACATTTAGGAAAATATAATACAAAATTTAATACAAGAAATATAGACTACACTGGCTAAAATCACTTTAAGTGACAAGTAGCTTTTCATAAGCAACTCTTTTTCTTGTCTTTTGAGTCTTTTGTAGATTTTTTTGTGCAGACCTGCCATGCGGGACTGGCTCCTTTTTCCAAGTATTGGGACGCCAAGCTCTAAAGACTTTCAGAGGCAGAAAGAGCCCTAACAATTCAAAACTGGTCAGAGAGCGACTGAGCGCCTCCTCCGTCAATAGTGACTATTGTGCATTAAAGATCTACATTGGTCATCAGCAGTGCCCAGAAGCTCCAGGAATAGCAGTTATAGCGAGGTTGAAGTCCCATTAGTTTTGCTATAGCATAAAACAACTGAAAACGATTAGTTTGGACAAAGCTAGCTAATAGAGAAGAAATCATTAGAGCTGGCTTCTTTTTTTCATTTTCATGTTTTTTCCCACAGCTTTGACTTGATGATCTGAACAACCACACACTCTGAAAACACGTCAGCGCTGAAGAGAAGCAATCATTAATGGATGAGGGCGAAATCATTTTACAGCGTTTAAAAAAACATCTCCCCGAACGCCTCCTGCTCCACCAGAATCACTCCCAGGAAGCCAGCCCTCCTGTGGCTATTGCTACATCGATTCGCTACTGAGAAGACAAAAAAAACACAAGATCTCAACCAATCTTTAGGTAATAGAGTTTGGCTGTGAGGCCACTCTGCTTTAGTTGACACAGTAGTCCATCCACACCATAGGGTTTTATAGTGTAGTGGTCAGTAGTGTGGATTAGTGGTTAGGCAGTCCAACCAGAGGGAGATGGGACAATTTCGACGTTAAATGTTCTGTACATATATTTACATTTGGATTTCACCGACAGCGCCGCAGTGTTTTCAGTTTGTGGCAGAAGTAGCAGCTAGCTACGCCGCCATTTTGTTAGGAAGACACTTTCAAGGTCTGATAGATGCACGGAGGAACAAAGTGCAACAACTATCATTCTTTCCCCAGACCTAGTGCAAAGCAAGTTTTCATGTCACTGCTTAAACCTGATGTCCTACACACGCATTACTTTACACAGATTAGCAAGTCAAAGCTGTCACCACACCACAGACGTCCCCTTTCAAAACAAAACAAAAAAACAGTCCTCTTGCTTATCTGTCGGGGTTTCGTGAGGGCATCGGGAGGGCAGGGCGTGTCTGGAGGTGCAGGTTGAGGCAGGATACACCAGGGTGAGGTAGGGTGAGTGGTTAAAAGGGGGAGGGAGAGAGGCAGTAGTCAGGGAAGTGGCATGGGCAGCCTCGTGTGCTTCTGGGGGATACTGTAGTACCGCTGTGTTGGACCAGTCCTGACTGGGTGAAGGTGGGAGCGGGCATGGGCATGAATGGGGCAGGGAGGTGGTGGTACGGGTACGGGAGGGGGGAAGCGGCGGTGGGGGGAAAAGGGACGGTGGTCTAACAGTGGTGTGGCTGCAGTCTGTGGGAATGTGTGGCTGTGTAGCTGTCGCTGCTGGAGCTGCTCTGGAGGCTGTAGTGGTCTTCCTCCTCCTCCTCCTCTTCCTCGCCTTCGCTCACACTGTCCACACTGTCCACCTCCACAGGGGTGAACTCCATGCCCTCGATGTCCACCTCTGAAACGTGACAAAGACAGACAGCAGCTTTGATTAGAGCACTATTTTTAACATTACAATGCACCACTTGTGTCTAGTGTTATTATAATGATACTCCAATTTCAAACTCAATTTCAGTGTTAAGGAATAGACTACAACAGTGGTCCCCAAAGTTTTTTGTGCCACGGACCGGTTTTATGTCCGACAATATTTCATGGACCGTGGGGGGCTCTCACTTCAAGACAATATTTTCATAGACCAGTGGCGTGTAGGACGTATAAGACATGGCATATGGGAGGAGACACGGTCCACGCAGCATGGTTTAGTCCTGGTTAAATCCTGATTTAGTCCTCATTTTAGACCAGGTATAGACCTGGTTTAGAGCTGGTTTAGACCTTGTTTAGACCTGATTTTAATCCTGGTTTTAGTCCTGGTTTAATCCTGGTTTTAGATATGGTTTCGATCTGGTTTAGATCTGATTTTAATCCGGGTTTTGAACTTGGTTTAGACCTGGTTTAGTACTGATTTAGAGCTGGTTTAGAGCTGGTTTAGACCTGCTAGATTTTAATCCTGGTTTTAGTTCTGGTTTAGAGGTGCAGGGAACACAGGAAGAGGCGCAGTCCATGCAGAGTACGCGAGAAGACGCAGTTCACGTGGCACAAGAGAGGAGGCATGGTCCACACGGCGTATGGGAGGGGAAGTTCGCCCTTTACAAGACATATTTGAACCCTAAATATATGACCAGGAGTCTGAGTTTTTTTAATAATTGCAAGTGTACATAGGTTAAAGCAATTTTGTGTAAAAACATATTTTAGATAATATGTCCCTTTAAAAGGGCCTCTATTACTCTATTTTCAGATATACAGTATGTTATAATTTAGTTTCCTCATAAAAACATACCCGGAGTGCTCCACTGTGTTTTTAAATTCCGTACACCTTCATTAGAATCATTTGGATAATTTCAGCCTTGAAACTGCCCATCTCTACTGAACAAAAAGTAAAAGGCAGCTGTTAACTTGAACTTTGGACTTTGGAGATGTAGAGAGACTAATAATAAAGACTCACTCAAACCTGTATGAATGAAACAAAGCACAACTCCAGATACACTACAGGTCAAAGGTTTTAGAGCGCCTCACTTTTACCATTTTTTTACTGTTTACTGTTGACCAAAACATATTCTAAATTTTTGATTCATGAAAGTGTCCACCTTTGGCAGATATAACAGCTGAACACACTCATGGCTTGTTCTTTTTACAATAGAAATCAAATATTCTTGAGAAAGTTCTGCCCAAGTTTGTTGCAGCAGTTCCCATAAATGTGTGGCACTTGCAGGTTTCTTGGCTTTCACTTTTCTGTCCAGTTCATCCCAAACCAGCACGATGGAGTTAAAGTCTGGAGTCTGCTGGACACTCCATGTTTTCAAGTTTACCATCTTGATCTTTTTTCCTGAGGTCGTTTTGGCAGAGCTTGGACTTGCGTTTTGTTATTTTTTATCTTTGTTTTAACCTCTGGCTGTTCAGTTCTTACCTTTGTACCATTTCAAGCTCTTCACTGGACTTACACGACTTGAATTGAAATAAATAACTGGAAAAATTAGGGTGTTTTAAAACTTTTGACCGGTAGCGTCTGTTGGTATGAGGTAACAGCATTATAACATGACTTAAAGCTCACAAGAAACAACTGAGCGCAATATCGGACCTTTAAGAATGTAAAGCAGTGCGTGGTGTGTTTAGTTTGACAAGTCATAGTTATAAATGTGTTTTTACAGCAATACAACATCTAACACGCAGGTTCAGCGCTCAGTCCACTAAACTCTCTCTGCCATTTCACTAAATTCCACCGCTCTGGCCAATAGCGGTGGATTAAACTGGGAGTTGAGTGCGCCATTAACTCTGGGCAGGCCTGCGGATCTTTGTGCTCCAACTGCTAATCCTGCCCCATTCATAAACAACGCCATGTGTGTTTACTTCAGCCTGGATTAGTCAATACACAGAATCTGTTCAAACTACACACTTTCTACAGGGTATACACGTTAGCACGGGGGATAACAGCTCTCCCCGCACGATTACAGCAATGCAGATTAGACCATATTTACTCATATACTATCTGTGGATCATAATAAGCCTTTGAGCTGAAATTAAACAGGCAAGAGCAGACACAACCACAAGACAAAGACTGAATCAAGTCGGGAGCTAATATCCGCATGAGCCTGATTTGCTACCGCTAATCTGTGGAGTTAACCTTTGACCTCGGACATCACCTGCAAATACGGTTGAGGCTAATCAGAGACTGTTCACTTGGTCACAGGGGTCCTTAGTTTATCAGGGAAAAGTGAAAAATGTCAACATGCTATGGGGCTCAACAATGACCCACACTTTCTGAATACTAATACTAATATTACTAATAATAATAGAAGTTTGAACGCATGTTTTGGGCTATTCAGCTATGTAGTAACCAATAGGAGTGTGCAAAAATATGAAAATATCGCTATATCCTATCATTTAATGTGATGATACAGTATTGATATCGTAGGCTGCTGTATCGCTATATTGACAAGAGTATTTTTTTGGTATATTTTACTAAATAATTTTGTTACAGTGCTACAGTTTTGTTGCTTATTTAGAGGAAGGAAACTCGTTTATGCAACACATTTGACATTTTCACTGTTTTTGATGATTAAAATGTATGTGTTTCATGTTAACTTTGCACAAGAAGCGGTTTAACAAAGACTTTTAGTATCACAGCCATGATTTAGCCTTTATTTTTTATTGAACCGTATTGAATCAATTTGAAATATACCGTACTGAATCAAATTTTCACTGTATCAAGATATGTATCGTATCGTGGCCTATGTATCGAGGTATGTATCATATAGTGGCCAATGTATCGAGGTATGTATCATATAGTGGCCAATGTATCGAGGTATGTATCATATAGTGGCCTATGTATCGCACCGTGGCCTTTGTATCGAGGTATGTATCACATCGTGGCCTATGTATCGAGGTATGTATCGAATTGTGGCCTATGTATTGAGGTATGTATCGTATCGTGGCCTACGTATCGAGGTATGCATCACATCGTGGCCTATGTATCGACATATGTATCGAATCGTGGCCTATATATCGAGGTATGTATCGCATCGTGGCCTTTGTATCGAGGTATGTATCATATTGTGGCCTATGTATCAAGGTATGTATCGCATCGTGGCCTATGTATCAAGGTATGTATCGCATCGTGGCCTATGTATCAAGGTATGTATCGTATCGGCAACTTCTTAATGATACCCAGCCCTGCTTGTAGTAACCAATGACGACAAGACCAAATTCTGTTTCTGAATCCTTATAAACCGCTAAGTTATTAAGACATTTCTCTTGAATGTGCTTTTTGGAGTTAAAACGACCGTGTTATGGCTGTTCATTACTATGTGGCTGGTTAACATCAGCTATAAAGAGCCCATATTACATTATTTTCTGATCTGCTATTATGCGTTTTCTTCATCATAAACACACCTGGAGTTGTGTTTTGTTTCATTCACGCATGTTTAACTCAGAAACCCTGCATATTTAGTTCTTTTCTCAAATGGAAAACACTTTGTTCCACCCTGTGATGGCATGAGGGAATACAGGAAATATTTTTAAACTCCACACACCTTCACTAGAATAATTTGAATAATTTAACTAAAGGTAAAAGGTAGCTGCTAACTCAAAAACTAACACTTCAATGAGATGCAGGCAGACTAATAATAAAGGATTACTATGAATGAAACAAACACAACTCCAGGTTTGTTTTTGAGGAGGTAACAAGAGTCAATTTTTACCTTTAATATTAAAATTTTTCAGTCTATTGGAAAAAAATATGAAAATTTTACTTCCGAAACCAGAGCAAGAGGTCACTGTCAAGCTCCATGGTTTGGCTGTTGATGATTTGCATGAGGGGATGTACATTGGATTTGCATAAAACATTGTTATTCTGAATCATAACCACATCCAGACCTCTTCCAACAAATGGTAAAGATGAAAAGACGTACATTGTAAACTGAAACTTCAAAATGAGAAAATGGAGGTTTCAGATCATGTTACTTTTACTGTACTCTATTCTACTCTGCGCATTTTTTATTTTTTTTTCACCTAAAGGAAGATCTCAGTCATGGTTTATTGTTTTTGTATAAATTTAGAAGTTGGTCAGAAGATTTGAATCCACGGTTTATATGAATTAGCATAAAAATGACTCAAACCTGTTTTATGTTACGATATATATAAATAGTTATGAGAAAGCAAGAAACAAACCACAAACTTGTATGAATTGGATTGATAGAAAGCCACACTATTGGGAAGCCAAAAACTAAACAGTTAGATTTGACTTTTGGACATGTTTGTGTACTTTGCTAACCATAGTTATTTCAGTATGGTGGCATTGTGGAAAGAAAATGTCTTTGAAATTTTACTAGAATGCAGAATTGTTAATATTGTATTTTGTTTCCAACTTAAGACAGTTTATTTTGAACAAGATTTCTAAAAACACAAGGTTTATGGACTCTGTGTAGCAGTTCCAGCACTAATAAAGACAATAATAAATAATCAAGCTGTCAAAAAAGCAAGAATACACAAAAAACTTAAACTACTAAAATACTGAAACAAGCTTAAACATCAATAATAAAAACATAAATGGGACATATGACTGTTACTGAATAGTTTTAGTGGCCTTCCTCTATATCAGAGCTTCTTTGAGACCACATATATAAAAAAAAAAAAAAAAGATGTGTTCTTTATTCATTAGTGGGGTATTGAAATTTAAGATGAAAGCTGAAGTTGAAAATCAGATATTAAATGATACTAAAACTCGTATCAATACTTAAAAAGTCTCACAGGACAGAAATGGACAAAATTAACCTTTCATGCACAGCTTTAGAATGAACTTGAGCTGTATCAGAACAAGTATGAGAGCACACAGACACTTTTCCTCCATTAAACTCTGAGCCTTCAGAGCCTGAAAATTCTCTTGCATTGCCATCTGTCGTGGTTGTGGCTTTCTTCCAGTTTCCGCCTACTTCTGCGCAAAATTGTGACATTTGTGTAGGTCGATGAATGTGACCTGGCCGTTCAGACTGAAGTCGCATGTCAAAAGATCGGATATATTTCAGTTTTAAGAGCACATATCCAAGTGTCCTGGGTCGCATTTGAGAAAATCTGATCTGTGTCGTTCAGACTGTCATTAAAAGGTCAGATACAAGTCACACAGGGGTGAAAAAAATCTGATTTGGGTCACTTCAGGCTGCAGTCTGAACATAGCCTAGCCCATGGACCACTATGGAACCTACCAGGACCACTGAGGGATTACACAGATATAAGGCCACATGGGAATATAAAAGAAAGTGCTATGATTTAATGTTGAAAATCGCATTCTATTGTGATTTATTATCATTAGCGTATTGGAATCACTATGACGTATTGAGTCTGTTCCTCAGTATTGAAATCAAGTTTGAAATTTTAGTATCGTGACAACACTACTGTAGTGAAGAAAATAGTGTTTTCAATTATCTTTAAGCTATTTATGTCCTGAGAGGGGGTAGTCAGTTACAAAAACATGTGCCTTTGATATTGAAAATCACACGTGTTGATTATTATGATCTTCGTATCAGAATCAGTATTAACTATTAAGTCTATTCCTTAGTATGGAAATTGAGTTTGAAATGTTAGTATCGTGCAAACACTTCTCCAGACACCCACCTTGCTCGGAGTCGGTGGAGATGGTGGAGCCCATGCTGTCTGTACGGATGCGCTCCACAGAGCCGGACACGGACAGTTGCTCCAGGCGCCGTTTGAGGTAGCGGTGCTCTCTCTGCAGCTGCTCCTTCATGTTTAAAGCCTTCCTGTCCTGCTCTTCCAGCTTCTGCACCACACACCCAAACACAACAACAATGTTAAAGGCGTAGAGTCGCAAAAGTATTGAAAATCATAAGCTTATTGATACTAAAACTGATACTGAAACTAGATACTCATTTGTGGAGATACTCATTTTCAATTATCTTTATGCTTTTTATGTCTTTTGCGTAGGAATAATATAGACAAGTGACTCAACACAGGTAATTGCACATACTTTCCCAGAATATATGTACAAAAATAGCTCCATAAAGGCCCAACTCTGCTATATTAAAAAAGAGAAGAGATGGGGTAATTAAATAAAATATGTTTTATTCATAAGTAGCACAAAATAATGATTTGTTTTTGTCCTTCAGCCTAAAATGTACTGATCACTTTCATAATGTAACTCTTCTATTGTGATGCATAAAACTGTATTGCATAATTACTTCAGTTAGTGCAGTTTTTATCATATTTAACTAAATTTGAGTATTATTTTTATTAAACTAACAGTAATGATTGCAATTCTGTAAACAAAAGTGTGATACTGAATTTTTTTTTATGATTTAATGACTTTCCTGCACCTTAGATATGGTTAGATATTTTTGGGCTATGCAATATTTTTTTACCCTTCCACTTCCTTCTTTACTTTATCCACAGAGTAAGTGGTCAAACAGAGACATACGTTTTAAAGTTTGTTCCTAGATACTTCCCTCCTTGTGCGTTGGGGTTACACTGTGCATATTCTGAATGTGAAAGTTCTGGTGGTGAATCAAGGCGCTGTGAGAAAGGCTATAGCGAGAAACGACGCAGATCAGTGTGAGATAAACAGGAAGTGAAGGGTTAAAACGGGCTGCGTTTGAAATTTCCATAGACCACAGTTGCGCGCTGAATGTACATAACTTCACATTGTGTAACATAAGCATAAATTGTCTGAGATTGTCCAGTGTTGGTATGAAATGGCTGTTTTATCTGTTGTGTGTGTGATCTGTGGTGGAGTAAATTTGGCTTAAGTCAAGTGGAGACTGCACTATTTTTAATACTTTGGACATATCTGTAAGACATATTTTCACATATTTGATAAAGTTGTAACATATGCAATATTTTATAAGCGCTGCCTTTTGTATGTTCTAATCCTAATAGTATAATTCATGCATAATCTGAAATGCTATTTTGTTTAAAAAAAACCTGATTCCATGTTTTAACTTTTGCCAAGGCTGGGTTTCAGGTGACATTTTATAGGCCGATAATATTCAAAATAGACTCTTTCAGGCGTGTTGTAATGTTGCTTCCTCCTCAAAAATATACCCAGAGTTGAGTTTTGTTTCATTCACACATTCTTGAGTAATCCTGGTTTATTTTTTACATTTCCAAAACTGTTTTGACTGTTGAAGTTGAGGGTTTGAAAATATATGTGCTAAATATTTAAAAGGTGATTTTTAGTTACCTTTTAAAAACAATTCAGAGTTAAAAATTTCAAAATGAGAAATTCAATAGAATTTAAATTTTCTGCTCTTTGTTTTCTAGTCAATCAAAATAAATCTGGAATTTTGTTTGTTTGATTCACATAAACTCTGCATTTTTAGGCTGAGCTCTTCACTCAGACAGAAAACACCTCCTGTTCCACCTTGTGATGTCATGTGGTAATACAGGAAGTGCTCCACTGTGTTTTTAAACTCCATACACCTTCATTAGAATCATTTACATAATTTCAGCCCTGCAATATCCAATCTCTATTAAACCAAAGGTAAAAGGTAACTTGAAAACTACTGCTTCATGACATCACAGGGTGGAGCAGAGCATTTTGAGCTTTGTACATGTAGACAGACAAATAATAAAGTGTGTGAATGAAACAAAACACAACTCTAGGTATGTTTTTGATGCACTAATAACATTCTGACATGGCTTAAAGCTCACAAGAGTCAATTTTCTTCCATAAAAGTGGTGTTGTTTGCAGTACCTTGATGTGCATCTTGGCCCGTTTGAGGAGGCTCAGTGTGGTGTGCCGTGTGCTGTCTGGACCCAAAGGCACCAGCTTCTTCAGTTGTTCCAAATAGAGCCGGAGTTTGGCACGTCTGTGAACACAAACACACAAAGATGGTGAGTCACAATCTGCAGCACACTCCAAGGCACCAGATAACATCAACCGGTTCCTCCACACCTGATACTTCTGTGGCGAGTGTTAGCATTAGCATGACGTAATTTTACATTAAATTGACATTAAAACGTGGCATGTTCAGAGTTGCAGTGCACATCAAAAGTTATTCTTGTTTATCATCTTACAAAGTTCACAAACTAGATGAAGATTTTGAACATACATATGGTCCCACTCACAGCCAAACAAGCTCAGCCTATGCAAGGTCTTGATCCAAATTAGCTGCATCAACAAGTAAAATAAAATAGAATAAAAACAAAAATGATGATGCACACCAGCGATCCTAAAGATTCTCTTCTGTTGTTTTATATTTTATTAAGAATGGAAAATTGGAGAGGAACACTATATACACATGCATATTCCTCTAAGTTAATTTTTATGTCAGTGAACATAGGTAAATTGTCTCTTGAAGATAAAAACTTGAATAAAGTGAAGTGCTTTTTCATATATTTCATTTGTTGTGTTCTTCACACAGTGCAGTGTTTAGGTCTCCACAGGTGCACAGGCGTTCCCTTAAAGGCCATGTGAAAGTGCTGGCTCTTTTATTTGCTGCAGTCCCAGGGGGTAGTCTGCTCCCTGTCCTGTCCCCTGCACCCTCCAGAACTCTGCCAAATGCAACACAGCCCAGTCCCACTGGACACAAGTGTCCTGTGAGGACAGGGGCGGGGCCACCTTCAACCTGCCGGCCACAGCCACATGAAGCAGTTGGCTTGAGTCCAGGGGAAGCAGAGCACAGGAAGGAGCTGGGGTCTGCGGGGGGGGAGGGGTGTTATTGGGAGGGGGGTCCGAGCTCTGGATGAGTTTCTGTTGAAAAAAGGGTTCTTTGAGTCCAGTGTGCTCAGCTGCACCAGGCAGCGCTACACACACATCATCCAAGAGTAACTTAAGCCAATAGGCACCCATCAAGCCCCCTGCTTCCCTCCTCACTCTTGTGATGAAAAACAAAAACAAGGCGTTTCCCAAATACTCAGTCGTGAGTATAAAAACCTGCCGTTTTCAGCGGCTCATTCATGACAGCCCCACCTGTGTGCTGACCACATATTTTACCTGGCACTCATGCTGACCACATGAGAGGACAGGGCTGCTGCTTTTACATGTGCACAACTGACACTTGTTTTCACTGCAGCTCAAATCAAAAGCAGACATAACCCTCTGAAGGCGAACCCAGCCCCTGCTCCAAAACAAAAGGGTTTTGAGGTCAATGCACTGAGCATACAAATATATAGAAGATGCTAGAACCATTTAGTAGACATCTACATCTTTTGGTCTTCAATGTTTTTCAAATGTGAGACACAACCAGCTCTGTGCAGGCTAGTCTGCATGCAAAGGAAACATAATTCACCAACATGTGCAATACATCGTACAGATGTTATAAAATTATAGGCACCAATATGCAGTTTGCCTAAATCTTTCACCTAAGACATGATTTAAATGGTTTTGCGTAGGTGTGAGCTATTATAGTGAAAACATTTCCCAGCATATCTGTTACTGCAACACAATTATAGGGCTTTTAAAGAGCCTCTGCAGTTGAAAGAGGACACTGTCAGCCTAAAGTGTATTTTGCCATTCACGTGTGGTATAAAAGTGCTTTGTTTGCTAATAATGGGTCTGTAATAGCTACATATAGCCCTTCCTTTAGCTGGCGACACGCACAGCCCAGGCCAGTGCTGGCAGTGTCCCTGACAGGCTGTCCCAGCAGCACGTGCTTCTTCCACACACACTATTCTCCTCCAGTGAGCACACACACACACTATTCTCCTTCAGTGAGCAGCGTGGACCCTCCCTCACTCACGTTTGTTATTCCTGAGCCAAGGCCTGGTCACGCAATGTTTATCAGACTGCCTCAAAGAGCCGTGTCAAATATGGCAGCGCATGAACGTGATGGTGTGTATGTGTGTGAATGTTGGTTGCATGGAGGAGGGCAGACCTGTGTGCTTTCAGATCACAGCACATGTTTCAGGTGGTCTGGACCAGGACCGAGGATGCTCTTTCATGTAGCTTGTACAAATACGGCTACAGTGTGAGTCCTGATTGGTCTCACACACACAGAGCCATGTTCTGTTGGCATAACTGGAGTCACAAGTTCACTTTTTCATGCCAAAGAAACGCCATCTGTTATAATTTGTTTTGTATAAACCTTTTAATTCATTCTGGGGATGTTCTAATGAAGGAAATGATATTAGGTACAGAGAAGCTTATTTTGCACAGTTGAATCCTGTTTAAAGTACATATTTACTGCTAACTTTATGTCTTTTGAAGAAAGTATTTAACACAATGCAAAGCTGATAGCCTACTTTAAGTTTGTTCGGGAACACAACAAGTAAAATGACTGAAATAGCTGTTGTTATTATTGTTGCTGAATAATATTTCTGCTGTGTTAACAAAAAGTGACTGTAAACCTTTCTGTTTTCAAAAAGTGTGCTTCCAAGACTTGAAAAACAATACATCCCCCTCTGACTACAGTTACTTTGGTCAGTCGCAGTGCTCTCACGTGCGTAGTACCACGGGATGATTTGTGTCTGATCTCTGGCCCTCGCCCCCCTCCAACCCCCCGCTGTCATCAGATGCAGGGCGTGCTGCCAAAACAAAGCAAAGGCGCAGGAGGGAAAAAAGAAGGAAAGGAGAAAAAAGTTTTCCTCTGAAAGCTGCACTCTGCTGAAACTGGAACAGGCTATTTAAACTGCTGACTAGTGCTTCAAGGTTAACAATAGATGCACAACTCAAATGAATACTGAACAAGTTGTATCTTAATCTTCTTCAAACATTATCACTATATCTCAGTAAAAATCTAAAACCCCAAAGTCCAGTTTGCATCTGCCTGTGGTGAAAACAACAGTCCTCTGAGGCTTGCTCTGTTTAATGAGCTGCAGTGCATTCTTTCACTGTACGCACAGGACGACTGGCCACGCTGGCAACAGGCCAAACTCACCAAACACATGTCAAAGGTCACCAGAAACACGGCTACAATGCTTCCTGCTAATGCAGGGGCCAAAACGCTAAACTATTGTGAGCCTCCAAGAAAACAACAGCTGATTTGTTTTGATTCATGCATTTCCATGGTTTATTTAATATAAGCACAACAATTAGTCTTGTTTTGAAGTCAATATTTTTATTGGCTGCTAGTTTGCTCGACTACAGTTTCCCTTTTTACTAATAAGCAGAATATCTAGACTAGCTACACACAAGAATGTTAGCTCTGAAAACAGATGCAGTTTGAAAACGTTGCTTCCACTGTACACTTGGACATGAGACCAAAAGACAATGTAGACAGCTCTTATTAATAGTGATCTAAAGCCTTTCCTCTTTCACGTAAGACTAAGTGTTGTTTACTTCTTGTCTGAGAGCTGTGCATAATGTCAAGTGAAAGTGGGGGCTGCGTGGCGTGAGTGCAGATCTCTGTGGTGAGGTGCTGGAATCTGGGGTTGCCAGGGGAGTGGTCCCACATCTGGCCTGCAGCTTTCTGGGCTAATAGAACTCTCATACGGTGGGAGGAGGGGTGGAGGTGGGATCCTATAGCCGCAGGACGGTTAGCAAACACAACATGCATATAGTGGGCTATTGAGCGAGCCTTCATCAGTCTGAGACTGTTTACATTTAACACAGATCTGAAATAACAGACGAGCTGAACCTTGGGCAGGTGCTAAAGTAAAATAAATGGTATCCCCTTTATGCACTTGTTATGTACTATCCTTATTTTCTTCTTTTAGCTGTTTGATAAAAATATGCACCGTCTTAGAAGTGCAAGAGACTGTGAACTGAGAGCAGGTGGTTTGCTACGCTGCCCACACAACAAACTCAGAGCCAGACGAGCGGGGAGACACGAGAAGGAGCTTCATGACCCCGATATGAGATGTCCGTGGTTTGTTTGCCGTCGCTAGGGAAGCCACGCCCCCCGCTGTGAGCAGAGGACACTCATCAGACCATGCAGACAAAAATAAATACTTACATAACATTTAAAAAATAGCAGTAGTATATTGAAATTACTGATTGAATGCAACAGATCTAGTGACACTTTTGACACTGCAAAGTCAATCTGTGTATCACATTTTTTTTCATATTGGAGCATTATTGATATTAACATTGTAGTTTCAATACAGTCATGCCTAGATACTAGATTGATTTTTTAACTTGTCAAGTGGTAGTCGCCAGTCATATCACACCCAAAATATGAAACGTAATGAGTGAAATCGTCTCACCTAACGAGCTACCTTCCATCGGACAAAACAGAAACCATGACAAAAAAGAGAGGGGGGGGGTCTTCACTTTCAGAAAGGCGCTATATTCTGAAGAAGTCCACGGCTGGTTATACAACAGGAAATGTCAGTATTAGCGGCGTTGTTCACTCATCAGTGCTATAGCCACAAAGCAGCCTGGCTCCCCACAAACAGGGCCTGTGCACTTGGGAAAGCCTCATAATTAGATTCATTTGACTTTTTCGTGTACTCAAATAATCCCTTTTGCACTAACGTTTTTTTTTCTTTGCAACTTTGCGCAGAAGTCAAGAGGAATTTAATCTCTCTTTACGTTTTTCTCCTCATGTATTTGAGCAAAATGTGTCTTTCCCTAGTACAGATATATTTTGTAAGCAGGTCTTGAGGTCAGAATAAGCCACCTGTGTGCTGGCTGCATGTAAATATAAAGCATTGCATTTTTATTTTACATCACACCAGGGCATTGCACAGCTTCCGGGCCACATACAGCCATTTGGTTGGACTCTGACAGGCCTATTTAAGCTCATTCGGAATTACGAAATAAACATCTTTTATTACTTTATCTCATGCATGGACTAACGCTGCATTGCTTTTATATAAGATGACTTCACTTTTTCATTGCTTAAGCTACGCTTATATGATGACGGTCTGAACAGACGATGCAAAAATGGCATCGCTTCTTCACTTTTTATACCTCATTTAGACGAGC